CACTGTCAAATTATCATATTTTCATGTTATGAACTTTTTCATGTTACTATGGTAAAGTTCTTACTTTTGATATGAACTGTTTTTTAAACAGGTCATGGAAATACAGAAAAAAGACTGCTACCTGTTCTAGGCAAGGGTGGAATCGTTACAAGAAAGGCCTTTGATTATATGATGTGTTGCATTTCTGATGTCAGTTTTTTTTGTGTAATAAATAAAAATCTTTTATATATCTGCAAAAAATGTTTTGTTTTATTTTCCTACAAAGATCTTGAAGTGAAAATATCAACAATGCAGATGTTATAGTAGTCAGAGAAAGCCAGGATTTGTTTGATACATTTGTAAATGTTATCTTAATTAACACCCAAAACGACGTTACGCCGCGACGCCGTCAAAAGTCTCACACATTGAAAAACCCAGTAGAGGGAGATCTCCCACACTGGACTCCTAAGAGGTTGGCAACCCTGCTTTTATTTGAAAAGTTACAGAACTTTTGGTGGATAAGGAAACTGATTTTTGTAAATTTTCGTATTATAAATATATTTTGATGTCAAATAACTCGAACAGATGAGCAATACAAGTGTCATGGACCTGCTGCTACATTTCTAGAAGGCTTGACCCCAGTAAGTTGGAATGATTAACTTGTGGGCCTATGCTGCTATTTCTAATACCAAATGAGAGGGTTTTGTGAACCTGACTGCTGTTTTCAGAACATTCCTTCACAGTGTACATTATGGGGGACTTAGGCAGTGTTTTATCTATAGAAATGTTGAACTGAAAGAAAGAAAATCTAAAAAGATGTTTTGATAAACAAACCTGAATGTGTGTGATAACATTTAGTGTGTGTTTTATTGTCAGTGCCCAGCAGAAGAGAATTTTGTATTGAACTCATCCACCCCTGGAGATTTCATTATGAACTATTCCAACCTTTGAATCTGAAGAGTTCAAATGTGCCTTCAGGGGTGAATGAGCTAACTTGAAGGGCAAAGGAAGTTGATGTCTGGTTGTCTATTTCTCTCTTGTTTTCAGTACCCATCAGAAGGAGAGGTTTTTGTGCGACCTCCGCAAGGCTCGGGAGCAATTCAAGGGGGAAGAGCTGGCGAAGGTAATCACTGTTTTCGTTGTTTTTTGTAATGAATAAAGAAGTGTATGCATGTATATACCAATCTGATTATGGGTGCGGTGGCCAAGTGGTTCAGACATTCTGCTACCACTAGCCCTCCACCACTGGGTTGCGGGTTTGAGGCCTACGTGGGGCAGTCGCCAGGAACTGGCTGTAGGTCGGTGGTTTTTCTCCAGGAACTCTGGCTTTCCTCCACCACCAAACCTGGCACGTCCTTAAATGACTACAGCTGTTATAATAGGACATAAAACACAAACAAACCAAACCAAACCAATCTGATTATAACAGTGATTTGCATCCAACAAGCAAATGTTCCTGGCACAGGGGTCCTAAATGTGTACATGATTCTAATTCAGCTGAGATGTAACATGGCTTTTGATTGGTTAATCAAAATAATTTACGTTGTTATTACCACAATATACCGTCCACACATTTTTCCTTTGCATATAAAGCCCCGATGGCTATTGTTAATTATGTCAATGACCCCAACTGACCCTGACACATCATGAATTTGATTATTTATGATGTCATGAATAATAGCATGATCTCGAAAGGTCAGTGTAATTTTGACTCGTTTTAAATATTCCTGACGGCACCAACCCATGGAAGAGTGACCCAAATTTTGAAGTGAATGCTCAGAAATATCTTTAAATCATCATTACATTTGGTGGTTTTCTATAATATAAATTAGAATTGGATAATCCTACTGTACAGCTGTAAGCAGTGGCATAGGGACCCACAAGATGCCATTCCAAAGGATTGATTGACTTTTTGGATTAATTGACTTGTGGTGAAAAAACCAATGCATAACACTGAGACTGCAAAATTTCTCCCTTGGGATAAGATTCCTTGATTTCCAGCTGACTTGAGATTTTCCATCTCGCCCCCTAAAGATGAGAATTAATTTATTCTAAATCTAATATACATTACAGGTGTTAGAGAGGCTGCGGACCAGACTGGATGATCCGCAACTATTGTCCGTCGACGTCGTTATAAATATGCTCATCTCATTCCGAGACTCGCAGGTAAAGTCTAGCCTTCTGCAACGAAACCAATACTGACAGCGCGCTTCTCTGGAATCTGATTTTTAGGTCACCTGAGCTTTAGCTCAAGTGACCTATTGCTATCTGTCTTCGTCCGTCGCCGTGCCCCGTTCGTCGTCCGTTTACATTTTACATTTTAACTTAAAACTGAAATACTGTCGGAGTGATTTCATGGATACTACATGGGAATGCTACTGACATCTCCCTGACCAATTTTTGTTATTTTTCTGGTAGATCAGAAATTCAATATGGCCGTCATGGCCGCTATTTTGAAAAAAAACTGTTTTAAACTTAAGTTCTACTGAACCGATTTAACTAAAACTTGGTTGACTCATGGTCCTGACAAAGTGTTGTTATTTTTTTTATTTCAAACTTAAAATCAAGTTTTAATAGGCCGATTTAACTGAAACTTGGTATAGGAATGATCAAGTCATGGTCCTGACAAACTTCGCGGAATGTTATACTTAACTATTGTCTACTCAAATTGGTAGGGATGATTGACATCATTATCTCCACTTCATATTTCAACAACAAAAAATAATACTGTGAGACTCAGGTGACCGTTAAGGCCCATGGGCCTCTTGTAATTACGGAGGGTAAACAAACATTTATTTTTGTATTGATAATGCAGTGTTATGTCTGCAGTCTGTGTAGAGCGTAACATTTTCATGTGGTTCATCATCTGTCATTTTTAACCCTTTCATTCCTATGTAACTTTAGTAAACTCTACTATCCATTGATTGGGATAAGTCCATTATGGTTTACAGTGTCGAAAGGGTTAATTCCAACATCGTTCACACAGGTGTAAATCTCCTGGAGTTGTTGTGAAAACTGAACATTGCACAAACTGCTGGTTAGTCATCTTTTGCAGCTAAGGAAATTCTCATCGAAAAAACATACGAAAAGAATGTTTTTAAAACCTGAATCAGTCTCAATGAGGAATGTATACTCTATCGAAATATCGTTTTTAATAATATATCATTCTGATAAGACTAAATTTAAAAATATCCAGAAGATTAAATAATTCCCATGTTTCCTGTAACTCTACATATGAACCCTCAACTGCTTGTTTGAAGCTGTCTACATTTCAGTTTATATAAGTTTAGCTTGACCCAAAAATTACAAGTGATTATTTGCTTGGCCCCTTTAAGAAAAAAATTGGACTTGAGCAAGGCTGCTACTTGAAATACGGTAAACCTTCAGTCAGTAAGAATAGGCGGACAGTTCTAACACACATTTCGAACAATAAAAACATTTTTTTTTTGTCTAGTTATAGTTTGAACCTGCCTTACCAACATTTCAGATAGTTCAAACACATTGTACGAAGTTTTGAGTTGTGAATCTAATTTGAAGTGCGAGTTCGACTATCGGCTTTCAAAATGCCCGTCTCGCAGAATCGCTCGTGTTGGTCAACAATACATGTATTTTCAGATATCAATGCGCGTAAGATTACACGACATACAAAATTACGAAAATTCAGAATATTGATAATAAACTTATTGGAAGCACTAGTGTCAAAAATGGTTTAAATGGAACATTTATAATAAACTCTTTCTCTTTACAGTGGATTCTATTTAACTGACAAATTAAGGGATAAAAGCATAATTCAGTCATTTGCATAAAAAAATACCCAAACTCAGATTCCTTGTATTATTTGAACTCTTTGCTTCACAAAGAAACAGAAGTATTCAAAACTTGGAAAAGAAGTTTTCAATTACTGTTTGTGTCCAAAATCAACCGAGCATTTATTATATATATCAAACTTATGAAGCTCAATCCGAACATTTCCTTTAAAGTTAGATAAAGATATATATTTTTGTTAATTTGTATGGGTAGTATGTATTGTTTTTTATTCACAGAACTACAATGCCATGGTGAAACTCATTGAGGACCTGGAACACATACCGAACAATAAAATACAAGGACAAACAATGGTCATGTATCAGTATGCTTTCGCCCTCAACAGGTTTGTAGTCTGCCAAAGTTTATTTCCATGCTGTCTTTATGATAAAAGAACTGTTTCCGATTTCCCTGCCTGCTCATTTCCATGCGGATCCCTATTAGGGTGGGGGGCATTGAACAAGTGCTCTGTTAATGTCTCAAACGCTATCAATAGAATCCATTGAAAGATATTTTGCAAGAAATGTACAATGTTTTGACTTCTTTCTCTAGAATTTTTAAATGCAAAAACAGTTCTGTTTATCCTTTGAACAAGATTGCATGAGTGAAGCAGTTTAAGGACAGAATTGTAAGACCTTGTTATACTGTCCACATACAACAAGCAAAGTGTTTAGTATTGTTTGGACAGCTCGACAGACTCAATGTATATAATGGCATTATAAAGGAGTTTGTCATTATATAGGGGTTTGTCATTATATAGGTGTTTGTCATTATATAGGAGTTTGTCAATTTATAGGGGTTTGTCATTATATAGGAGTGTCATATAGGGGTTTGTCATTATATAGGGGTTTGTCATTATATGTAGGAGTTTGTCATTATATAGGAGTTTGTCATTATATAGGGGTTTGTCATTATCTAGGAGTGTCATTAAATAGGGTTTTGTCATTGTATAGGAGTTCGTTATTATATAGGGGTTTGTCATTATATAGGAGTGTCATAATATAGGGGTTTGTCATTATATAGGAGTTTGTCATTATATAGGAGTTTGTCATTATGTAGGGGTTTGTCATTATAAGGGGTGTTTGTCTTTCTATAGGGGTTTGTCATTATATAGGGGTTTGTCAGAAATGTTTTCTAAGATAAGGTGATTCGAGGAACAATTCTCGGTAGGATGAATATAACAGCAATTCTAACAAGGCCTCCCAGGCTATACCACTCAATACCAATTAAATTATCACTGCACACTTTCATGGAACAATTCTAAATCTCATAATTTTGCATTTTACTGAATTTGAATTGATATTTATTTTGTAGGAGAAACAAAAATGGTGACAGAGAAAAGGCCCTCAAGGTCATTAATCAGGTAAATATGAATTTGACCCTCAAGGTCAAAGTCACATACAGAGGTGATGACCTTAATAGGTTGCGGTCATATTTTGATGACAAATGTCATTCATTTACAATGTATTTCAAACTTGACAAATTTACTGGTTCACTAATTTATTGGCGCTATCAACATCATTTTCATATGATCTTCAGGGCTTTCCTGTGCAAATGTGACAACATAATATATTTGTGATTGTACAGGTATTAGCGGTTCCCGACAACCAGACCCCAGATATCCTGTGTCTCTGTGGTCGGATACACAAGGACATGTTCGTGGACTCTGCCTACAGGGATCAGTCCTGTCTACAGAGTGCCATAGAGTGGTGGGTTGATTCAGCAGTTTTTGGCCTAAAGTAAAAAGTTGGTTTTGTTTCGTCTTGTTTGACGAGCCAAACAAATATTTGGCTGATATCCCCAACTGTATAAATAATCCCTTTTTGGTTTATAGTACCTATGAACATGGTATGATATGTTGTACATTTCATTTAATTAAAAGAAAAATGTTCCATTTGTCCAATATAAATTACTTAACCCTTTCATCCCTATGTAACTTAAGTAGACTCTACCATTCATTGATCTGGATGTGTCCATTCTGGTCTACAGTGGTGAAAGGGTTAACCAATATATGCCAATAAAGAATTATACTTATTTAAAAATAACAGATCTACCTACCAACCAACCCCCATATTTACATCAAGTCAGAATACAAATGTAAAGGTTTGTTTGATTTTGTTATTTTTTTATTTAAACAATTTAAAAATTAAATTTTTGAACTGCTTAAATTTCCTTTTGACAAGATTGGATGTATTTAACAGGTATCGTAAAGGATTTGAGAAACAGCCGCACGAATATGCTGGTATCAATTTAGCGACACTGTTGGTGATATCGGGCAAACGATTCTCAAACTGCTCCGAACTCCAGAGAATAGGTAAGTATAGCCTTCAAGCAGATGAAATCAAAGATACTGTGAAGGAAAAAATAATGATAAGTAAAAAGTTTGGAACATGTGTTACCGTTATTTGGAGTGAAAACATCTATACATGGCATTTTAATGTTGCTGTAGATTGAGAGACATAATATTGAAAATTTAAATGAAGAAGTTGGGATTGTATTTTTCTTTTATAAAAAAATTATTCATGAAGCCGAATAGAGCACTTGTATATGGTATAATGCAAGACCACACACTTGTGTTTCTCTAACGAATCAGAAAGTGCAAGTTTATTGCGCGGACGAATATGTTCACGAGGGCGCGGAGCGCAATAAATGAGTGCTTTCTGATTCGTTAGAAAAACACAAGTGTGTGGTCTTGCTTTTATCACATACCTTCCGTATTTGGTAGGGATCGATACAAAGGCCTGAAAATTGCTTGTATTAATTACTATAACAAGATTCAACAAGTATGTGATAAAAATGTGTTGAAAGGTTCCATGATGCAAAATTCATATACTTAACTCATTTACCCCTGATGACACATTTGAACCCTTCCAACTCATAGGTTGGAATAGTCCATTATGAAATTTCAGGGGTGAATGAGTTAATACTACTGTATAGTGGTTATATTTCGCAGGGGTTTTAATTTTCGCTATATTTGTGCTTCGACTAATTTCCGCAAATTCTAAACACTAGCGAAATTATCGAATATGTAACCATGAGTAACCACTTTTAGGGACCTTATCACAACATGTTGAAAATACTTATAACCCAACGCTGTTACACAAGCTTAAATGAACTCAAATCAGATTATCACCGGACAACTGGTCAGTCCATGTAAAAACAACACTTACACATCAGTGGCCACAACATATTTATGTGTACACAGTAGGTGATTAATTGATTACAGTTTACTCCTACAAAGGTACACACCCATTTGATTTTCTTTCAAGTGATGTCACTGGCGGATGACGACGCTTGGGATCCGTGGTTTAACCCTTTAATAATGACACTCAAAATATGACACATGGAATTCAGGTGTACAGCGAAAATTAACCCCGTCAAATATGATCTGAATACGAAACCGCGAAATATTGACTCCGCAAATTTAAAGCGCTATACATTAATTGTAACATTGGAGTACCTAAAACGGAACGGTACCCATAATGGAACACTTATTACATTATAGGATGCAGCTTTCTATTTTGCAGCACAAATGAATGGTATCATTTCTTAATGAAAATTTATATGGTTTTAAGAAATTTGAGGAAATTTTGTCTATCTCTTGTATGTTGTTCATGAACTCAATTGAAAATTCAAAAAAATGAAATGAAAAAAATTCCCAGGAAGTGGTATGATGCGACTGCAATGTCAATATCCTCTATATATCTAAACCCGGAAATTTTGATACCCAAGGAATGCATAAAATGAAGGTGAAAGGCATATTTTGTTTCAATGTATGTACTAAGAAAGAATTGTGTGCTAGAAACTAAATAGGAAATGTTTATAATTTTGGATGGTGAAAAATTATCAGAAAACTTTCTACTTTCTCGAAATGAAGAAAAACATCTTGTATAAAATGCTGTAATTTCTTTTCATAAACTGACTTACATGATGAGATGTTCCATTTTGGGTTACCGAGCAAGCAACCGGACTCAACTAATTAATGAGCTCTTTAGATAGACACACCTAATGGTGATGCCCAAGAAATACATAAAATGAAGGCAAAGGGCATATTTTGTTTCATTTTAGAAAGTATTTGTTGTCCCAGAAACTAAATAGGCAATATTAACAATATTTTTCATAAAAAAGTATTCCATTTTTGGTTCCCTCCCGTTACCGATAATTCTTGGCTATGTTCAGATGGTAAATTGTTGGATATACTTTTAACCCTTTCAACACTGTAGATCATAATGGCTCGTCCATATCAATACATGGTAGAGTCTACCAAATTTACGTAGGGGTAAAAGGGTTAATAGAGGATCTTATATGAGTTTCCATGTCATATTGAATTTATTGAACAAGTTGAATATTTTGATATGACACAAATGTAAGATTCTATTTATCATATAATATTCATAATTTGAAAACCAAATTTCAAACACGACTATCTGTCATCAGCTGACTCTATATAGGTCAAAACCAAAGTACTCCGGTCATAGTATTGTCTTTTGGTGCGGTGCAAAGTAGTTCAAGATTTTTTTTCAACTTTTGAAAAGTTTTAAATGCCATGAAAATAATTATGATAATGACAAAGTAACCATTTCCAATTCATTTCAAATATCAGCAAATGTATCATGAGTAAATAAAAGTAGTACCTGCGTGGCGTAGGAATATGTTCCCACAGTTTTGACCAATCGCAGCACCTTTAGGTTTTATTACACATGTATAATACCATATTTATGATATGGTCGTATGACATAGTAAAATCGGCGAGTTCTTCGATAAATATAGGATCTTACATGAGTTTCCATTTCATGTGAGATTTATGAAAGGAGTAAGAATTTTTCAATTTAGATCTGGTGAGCTAAAATGATAAATTCGTGGCGAGTTTCATAAGTTATTATGAAATGAAAACGAGTGTAGGATCCTTGTTATCACATAATCAGGATTTGTGGCATTGATTCTCGTAAAACAGCAATTTTCATGCAACCTTGAAATGTAAAAAGCCGCCATTTTGACTCCAGTGCGTAAGTCTGTGAAGTCATGTACTTGTCCTAGGCGTGACGTCACAATCAAAACAATTGAAACTTACAACCAATCACAGGGCTGATAGGTTACATTACATGGGTTAATACGCAATAAAATATGACATGGGTATATTCACTGTATATAACACGGTACATTGTGTGATCAAATGATGTTCAATGTAATTTCTTAGGTTTGGTCCTGAACAACCTGATCGGTAAGAAGGGCAGTTTGCAGTCTCTGTCCGACTACTGGGATGTGGCCACGTTTTTTGAGATCTCTGTCCTGGCTGAAGAGTACGGGAAGGCTATACAAGCTGCGGAGTGCATGTTTAATCTGGAACCACCGGACTGGTCAGTATATTTACTTACGGTAAAAGTTTGGGTGTCGTATGGCATGATTCTCATACTACCGCAAGCCATAGTTTTTGAATTTTTCCCATACTTACGAAAATTCCATAAAATTACTATATTTAGGGCCTGATATGCTGGTGTCCGTCTGTCCGTCCAAACTTTCGTTTCCGGATGTCAATCTCGGAACCTGAAAGATAAATCTCTGAAATGTTTATTGGTGATACAGTGTGAAATGTTGGTGTGCATTAGGAGTATACAAATGTTTTCTTAGGTCAAAGTTAAAATACTAACCATAGACCGGAGGAGTTACGGGTAGGATTCCTTAACCTGGAATCTAAAAAAGAAAGAATCCTAAAGAAAATTAAAGAAAACTGGAAATATAAAGGGGTTTTATAGAACTCTTGCCTGCAATGAAATGAAATTTTGCAGAAAGATCAAAGAACAACCAAAAAACAGTGATGACAATTAGATGGTAAATAAAAGTTATCGCACTGTGCTATTGCACAGAGAAATTTGCTTTCCTACCAGAACTAAATAAATGAATAAAAAAAATTAAACAGCTTTACTTATGGAGATGTTTGTTGGTAAATTTACTTGGTAATATTTTTATTTCACAAACATAGTACTATAAATTGCTGATACTTCTCTACCTCAACAGTGTCTTTTAGTTTTATCGCTAAAAAATGTTTCTTCTGTAGGTACCTTAAGTCTACCGTGGGTAATATCAGTCTCATCATGAAATTCAGGAAGGAGGAACCGAACCCAGGGCAAGAAAAACAGGTACGCATAATAAAATGAGACTGTTTTTATACCCCCGAAATATAGTGATGGTGGTGGTGGGGGTAGGGGAGGGGGCATTAAGTGTTTTACCTGTTTGTTGATCTGTACTTTGGTTAGACTTTTACATTAGCTCCTATACTTAAGTACTCCAAGTCTAACAACAGTGATCAACCTTTGTATGTAGAAATATGTGAAGGATAACTACACCACTGTAAGAATCATTAGGTCACTGTGACCTATTTTTTCCATTTCTCTGAACTAACGTTTGGCTTTACATTTTGCCCTGATATTGCATTACTAGAAGTAGTACAGTCAACAAACTCCATGCATGAACACATCTTAAGGAGTACTACACCAGTATAATCATTAGGTCACTGTGACCTATTTTTTCCATTTCTCTGAACTAAAGTTTGGCATTGCATTTTGCAATATTATTGCATTACTAGAAGTCGTACAGTCAACAAACTCCATGCATGGACACATCTTAAGGAGTACTACACCAGTATAATCATTAGGTCACTGTGACCTATTTTTTCCATTTCTCTGAACTAACGTTTGGCTTTATATTTTGCCCTAATATTGCATTACTAGAAGTCTAACAGTCATCAAACTTCATGCATGGACACATCTTAAGGAATACTACACCAATATTTTAAATATACATCAATATGAGGTGTTTTTTTCTGATCACAGACTGTAGTAAGACTACTTTTTGATATCATATATTTTAATTGATATCTTTTTATATTTTTGATATCATATATTCTAATTTTTCACAGCTGTTCACTTTCTGGATGGAGTTTTTTGCTGCGGCCACACAGACTGAAATGGCGTCAAAGGGAATCCTGTTTCCGGTATGTGTTTTCCTGTTGTTATTTAATTATTGTAAATGAAAACTTGCAGAAGTTGTCTTATTTCCCTATCAAAACATCCCTGGTTAGGTGTGGGTGTTTGGGAATTAAAGTATAAGAAATTAGCTTTGAGATATGATGTAGGTGATGCGTTGTTTCGATTCTGATTTCGTCTTCTGTACATCGAAATACTCTGTAGTGAAATAGACGTTTAACAACTCAAGCAAACAAGTTTCGATTTTGCTTGTTGGGGAAATGAATGTTGAAGCATATAAACAAAGCATAAGAAGTTTAAACTTTAAATTTGTATCTTTTCTTAGAATTTTTTTGCATTTTAAAATGTTAAAAAAAAAGAAGAGAAATGTATCGGACTCTTTTATTAAAATATTGATATTCTGTATTGCAGGTACAGTTATATGTTCCATAATAAGCATGATATTTTGGACCTCAGGAATTGTTCCAAAATTTTATATAAGCTTTATTTATTGTACAACAGATATGAAACAAATTTTGTTTCAACTAATAATAATCAATTTTGTTGGCCTGGATGGAAGCACACAGGAAGTCTGAATGAGAGAGAAAATTTGAGTACTTGGAGAAAAAAACACATGATCAATCAGCTGGCAGGTAACTCTATACCTTTCCACGTGCACGTCAAATATCTGGGAGTTGAACCCTGAGCTTCAAAATTAATGGACTCGAAGTCACTAGCCTGGGCTAGTTTCCCATTGGTTAGAATGACCCCTGATTGTCAATAACATTCATAGCGTGTGTATAGTTTATATTCTAGGATAAGCATATCTTGTTTGTTGTAGGTACTTGTACTGGAGCCGACCAAAGAGTTCATGCCCAGCTTTATACAGGTCAACATTGATGAGGATACAGAAACAGATGTACGCATACTTGTGAAAGACCGTGTTTATATCAATCTACAATACAAATTACATTGAAACCTGACTTCACTGACATCCGACTTTCAGGACAAATTGTAATGAACAGTTAAACCTGACATAACTGACATCCAACGTTAAGGACAAACTGTAATGTAAAGTAAAACCTGACTTTACCGACACCTGAGATTAAGGACAAACTATAATGTAGAGTAAAACCTGACTTTTTTGACACCTGAGTTTCGGGACAAGTTGTAATAAACAGTTAACCCTGACATAACCGACATCCAAGGTTAAGGACAAACAGTAATGTAGAGTAAAACCTGACTTACTGACACCTGAGTTTAAGGACAAACTGTAATATGCAGTGAAAACTGACTTTACCAACACCTGAGTTTAAGGACAAACTAATATAGAATGAACACTGACTGTACAGACACCTGAGTTTAAGGTCGAACTATAGTATCTGACATAGTTCTGGGGACCAGAATTTATTTTTGGTGTTTTTTTGTTAATGACAAACTGACTAATGATATTGAATATCTTGCAAAGTTACCTGTTATGTCAGGTATTCTTGATGATATCAGCAGGACCTTAATGCATGTCCAATGAAAAATGTTTTGGTCCAGTAAAAATGAAAACTACTTTAGTAAGACAATGAAGAGAAAAAAGCTATATTAATCCCATGTTGACTGGTTGTTTAGTATGCTTACAGTTAATAATTATTGTTTTCCATTTTGTAGGAGGTAAAACTGTGGAACGTTTGCCCAAAGGATGGCACCCAGAACTCTTACCAATGGAGTTTCCCCTGTACTGCAATTAAAGGTGTCAGGTAGGTGTTCCATTTACAATAAATATTACAAACCACGTGACCATCTATGTTTTGTAGATTCTATTTACCTCCCCCGATAATGCTACCTGTGACCATCGCTATGAGTATTAGCATGGTGCTGTTGAGTTTACCTCCCCCAATAGTGTTATCTGTATCGCATGCTACGTGCATAAGCAGAGTTGAATACAGCCCCTGATAATGTTTCCTTTTCCTGTGTCATTCGCTATGTAGTAGCGGTGTTGAAATTACCTCCCTTAATGATGTTCCCTGTGGCCATCTCTATGTGTATTAGCGGTGCAGTGTTGAATTTACCTCCCCCGATAATTTTACCTGTGTCGCTTATATTTATTGGCGGTGTGGAATAAGCCGGCCTACAATAATATTTTTCGATAAGCCATGTGTATATTGTAGAATTGAAAATAACTTCCACTAATGAGGGTTACATTATACCAGCTGTTTTTCTAGCACCGCTGGCGACCGACCTTTGAACTTTATGTTTTGAAGTGGCATGGTTAGCTTTGTTGCCAGTCGGCCACATTTCTCTTTGATGTTGCAAACGCTAGTAGATTTTTGATGCTTTGACAATAAAGTACTACATCGATTCAAAGTCCCAATCCTTTAATCACCGAAAAGTGGTCCGATGCACAATGCTTGTAGAGCTGTAACGATACACTTTACCCACGATTCAATACGTATCTCGATATTTGTACCAGGATTTAATTATTTCGATTCGATACACCTTTATTTTAGAATATAAACAAAATGAGATATATAAGCCGTCCATACCCGGAAACCCGCAGTGTTTCTACACTTTTGATTTGAAGCTTGCCGGAGCATCACAAATTTTCATTCCCTTACGGCGGACCGCCATTTTGTTATGAATGCTTTGTGAAAATTGCATCCTCGCAGCTGATTGGTTGAGGGTTTTGAGATCAGCCAATGAAACTGAACGTCTCACAGGCGTTTCGGCTGAAGCGGCATACACTAATATTCAGATTTTGACGCATCGCGGTGAATCGTGACGCCTCTTAATCCTGGTTAGCTTAACATGTATTGCAAGACATACAACAATACAACAATACAAACAAACTTACAAGTGATCCTGGATATAAAGACATGGATACACCACGATTGGTACACTACCCAAATTGATTCATGGTCAGAAAATGGTTCGAAAAGTTCTTTTAAATTAAATCTGTGTACTTTACTCTGTTGGTATAACAATAGAGATATCTAATAGCATTTCCAAAAAATTGTTTTGTTTTCAGCGACGTTTTAAGATTACACGATCACTTCAAAGTAAACATGTCAGAAAACCAGAAAAAAAACCGAGGCATGTCGACAAAATTTTGGAGGAGTTTGAAAGGGTGAAAATGAACCACCATGGGTACTCTTTGCCAAGATTCAAGAAAAATTCCAAATACAAGATCTCGATTCTTAAATAAGACTGAATAACTGTCAAAATTGTACCAAACAAAAGAGGCAGCGTAACGTTAGTGTTTTCAAGAAGTCAGTGTTTAAGGATACTTAAGAGTATATGCTTCCTTGTGATATTTATCTCTTTTTTCAAAAGAGTTACACATATATGACATATTGAAAGGCACAACAGGGCATTTGTATTGATAACAGAACCTCAAGTGATTCTGATTTTTTAATTAATAATTCTTTGCCAAGGGAAATCATCAGGGCATATGTATTGATAACAGAACCTCAAGTGATTCTGATTTATTAAATAAATAATTCTTTGCCAAGGGAGATTGACAGGGCATATGTATTGATAACAGAACCTCAAGTGATTCTGGTTTTTTAAATAATAATTCTTTGCCAAGGGAGTTTGTCAGGGCATATGTATTGATAACAGAATTTCAAGTGATTCTAAATTATTAAATAATAATTATTTGCCAAGGGAGCTAGGTCGTCAGGGCATATGTATTGATTACAGAATTTCAAGTGATTCTGAAAATTATTAAATAATAATTCTTTGCCAAGGGACATCTTCAGGGCATATGTATTGATAACAGAATCTCAAGTGATTCTGAAAATTATTAAATAATAATTCTTTGCCAAGGGACATCTTCAGGGCATATATATTGATAACAGAACCTCAAGTGATTCTAAATTATTAAATAATAATTCTTTTAATAACGTTTGTGCGAATCGAAGTCTGTTCTCCATCGTGACACTAACCGGAAATCAGACACTGGATTATAATACAATTTTAATTAGAATAGAGTACGGACAAGAATATCCGGAAGTTTATTTTTATATCAGAATGTGAATCTTTACTTATTTGTTAATATATAATGTAAGACGAATACTGACACTTGATAGAATAGTTTGAACAGTATAAACATTATTTAAATGCGATTCTAGACGCTCATGTACACTGTATGTATATTTATATATATGTTTATGTCATAAAATTTTGAAAAAATAAAAAAAAAAAAATTAAAAAAAAAAAAAAACCTTTGCCAAGGGAGGTAACTTTACACACGAAAACGAAAGGTAGCATATATCCTTAACTAAGGTCACAGTTTACTTTTACATGAACTAAATAAAATAAAAGACATGTGCCTGTGCTAATATTTTTCCACATTTTCATTACAGTTTATACAAGAGGGATTGTCGAGCAGTCTTTCTCTATGTACAACAAAACTCGGATGATTTTCACATATTTTTCTCGTCAGAATCACAAAGAAAAAGGTAAGTTTTGTTCTTAGTTTGATAATAAAATTGATGGAGTCATGGGATATGTTTGTATAGAAAAACGAAAACTACCTTAAAAAGGAGTCTTTTTATTTCTGGACTAACATTGTTCTAGTTTTAGATACATCATATTTTTTTCGTATGTGTTTATAAAATCTCTTCTTTCTTGACCAAAGGATGAAATTACTTAATATCAACAGACCTATTGTGAAATGGCCTAAACTGTTGGAAAGGCATGAAATCTCAAACCAACGTTTTAAACAAATACACCAACCTATTGTACATGAACGCTTTCTTCATTTGTCACACAATCGATCCACTCGGAGGTGCATTTTTTTACATCCTAGCTTTATATCAATTTGGTCCAAGATGCCCTTCAGGCCTGTACAAGTCAATTTGCATTAAAAGTTGTTGTCCCATACTTCAGATTTATAGAAAAGTTTGCTTTTGTTTTTCAGATTTTATGAGTTAGTGTCGAACATGATTGCCAACCAGACTGACAGCCAAGTTTTTGATCTCATGGATGAAACCGACCAAATTGAGGTGTGTAATTTGGTATAGTTATGGCTGACATAGAATTAAACAACACATTTCAGTGAATCAGGTTCTTACTTGTAGTAGCTTTGAATTAACCCCTTACAGCCGTGTAGTCTCTATACATTACTGCAAAGGTGGGGGGGGTGCAGAGTTTTAAGCTTTTCTTTTGCGAAATTCTTGTTAAGATAAGAATTTCCTTCAAAAATTACACCCTGCGAAATTAATGAGACGTTAAACCTTGTTTTTCCGTACCACTATATGACATGGCCACCAAACCAAGAATCTGCAAAAGTGACCAATATAGTGAATCAGCAAATATTAGGAACCAACTTCTGAGTGATTCTAAATTACACATGAAAAAGGACACGATTCTCATATTCATCATTTTCAGTCATTTTCATTCACTTAATTAGTGAAGCAGGATTTTTGGTAAGTAACTGTTTTTATAAATATGTATGTTCTTTTACTATTTGTATATGAATATAAGGAATTGTTTGGGGGACTAAATGTATCATTCAGATTAAATGAAAAATGAAAATATGATTGAAAAGAATGAGATAGAAAGATTGAATGATTGGTAGCACGAGAGAAGAAATAAAAGAGAAGAGTGAATGAAGGAAAAAAGGCCTCCTGCATGAAGCTACAGGATGTAAGAGGGATGAACCTGGGGCACCGCAACCCTGGCATCCCTCCTATTTTTAGGTCACCTGAGCTTTAGCTCAAGTGACCTATTGCTATCCGTTTTCGTCCGTCGTCGTCCGTCGTCCGTCGTCCATCGTCCGTTAACATTTTACATTTCAAACTTAAAGTCAAGTTCTGCTGGGCCGATTGAACTGAAAGTTGGTAGGAATGATCGCCTCATGGTCCTGACAAAGTGTTGTTATTTTTCGGGTCGATCAGAAATCCAATATGGCCGCCACGGCCACCATTTTGAAAACCTATTTCAAACTTAAAGTCAAGTTCTGCTGGACCGATTGAACTGAAAGTTGGTAGGAATGATCGCCTCATGGTCCTGACAAAGTGTTGTTATTTTTTGGGTCGATCAGAAATCCAATATGGCCACCACGGCCGCCATTTTGAAAACCTATTTCAAACTTAAAGTCAAGTTCTGCTGGACCGATTGAACTTAAAGTTTGTAGGAATGATCGACTCATGGTCCTGACAAAGTGTTGTTATTTTTCAGGTCAATCATAAATCCAATATGGCCGCCACGGCCACCATTTTGAAAACATATTTCAAACTTAAAGTCAAGTTCTGCTAGGCCGATTGAACTGAAACTTTGTAGGAATGATTGACTCATGGTCCTGACAAAGTGTTGTTATTTTTCAGGTCGATCAGAAATCCAATATGGCCACCACAGCTGCCATTTTGGAAAACTATTTCAAACTTAAAGTAAAGATCTACTTGGCCGATTGAACTGAAACTTTGTAGGAATGATCGAATCATGGTCCTGACAAAGTGTTGTTATTTTTCGGGTCAATCAGAAATACAATTTGGCTGCCATGGCCGCTATTTTGCTACTAAGTTCTAATAGGCCGATCTCACTTAAAATTGGTCTAGGAATGATCAGCTCATGGTCCTGACAAAGTTAAGTTAACATTATACTATTTTTTACTCAAATTGGTACATATTTCAACAACAAAAATAAATACTGTAGACTCAGGTGACCGTTTAGGCCCATGGGCCTCTTGTTAAATACAATTTCGCTCTTTTTTGCTCTCCATACTTGGGGCAAATTTATCATGTTACAGCAAATATTTGTTTACAGCATACTTTAGTTTACATAGTTATTCTTTGAATACCAGGGAATATTTTGCTGTGGTATTAATTTTGCCTATTTTGCTCTCCGTACTTGGGGCAAATATATTATATCACAGAAAATATTTGTTTGCAGCATACTTTACATAGAAATCCCATTTGAAGAGCGAAATTATTGCTGGACGAATGTGGATTTTACCAGTGAAGGTGGACGTTTCCCAGCATGCAGTTTTATTACTTCTAACCGTCCTGTTTATGTTTTCTCAGTTTGAATATGACTACGATGAGAGGAAGAATAAGGTGGTTTTGGGTCGTGGCACGTATGGTGTGGTATATGCCGCTCGTGACATAAAGACACAAGTACGCATAGCTGTCAAGGAGGTCCCGGAGAAACACGCTCAGTGAGTACCGAAGGCAAATATAACGGTACCACAAGTCCGTCTTTAGTTCTAAAATTTACAAGTTTGATTTGCTGTTCATGTGTCAGATGCCACTTGATTTGCACTTCTAAATGTGAAAATGCTGTAGAAATTGGTATGCAGGAAAGATTTCAGTCTTTGTGCATAAAGATCGAATACAGGAATTGAATAGTGTCCATGGTTATTGTCGATTTCCAACACGATGAACCAAAGTCTCCTTAATAGAAAATCTTTTTGCAGAGAGGTACAACCACTCCACGAGGAGATCCAGCTACACTGTCGCCTAGCACACAGGAACATTGTGAAGTATTTGGGCTCGCGCAGCGAAGACGGCTTCTTTAAGATTTGCATGGAACAGGTGCCGGGAGGTGAGAAATGGTTTTTTTCTCTCATTTCTCTGTATGTAGGTTAGAGCTGTCCAGGGTGTAGGAAATTTCTATCTCACACCCCAGTTCATGTGACGTGACGTCACAATGGCTCAACAATGATGTGATGTCACGAATTTCGAACTCTCCGTCCGATGCCGCAATGCGGAAAAGGCAACGTGATGAAATTAAAAATATTTTTGATATATTTTCCATGCATATTAGAAAGATGAGAACATTTTTTCTGTCCCAATATTGTTTGCTAATAGGGGATATGCTAAATCTGGCTGACTGATTCGTTTTTCATCTAAGAAGCTCAGGGGAAAAACTGATATTTTCAAAATGGGGGCCAGTCCAAACGCATATTCATGGTTTCTGAGCAAATTCTTATGGTTGGAATGAGAGAAAAATACTCTTTCATGCCCAAGGGTGTAGGATAGGGAAGTTCCACCCTCAGGATTTTCAAATTTCCCCCACCCTCAGTATTCTCAAATTTGGCAAAACCCTTGGCATAGCCTCAGGTTTTACCAAATTTGAAAACACCTCGGCTGGAATTTCCCTATCCTACACCCCTGGGCATGAAAGAGTCTTATAATATTACTCCATGATGTATTTAATAAGGATGCACGGTAGTCCAGTAGTAGGACGCCGGGCTGGTGACCGTAGGGTTGCAGGTTCGAGTCAGGGCAATGCATTGTGTTGTATCTTTGAACAAGATACTTTACTCCACTTGTTCCAGTCTACTCAGCTGTAAATGAGTACGTGGTTGGGCAGTACACTTGTACTGGAATTGTTGAATGCTAGCCGTGAGCATCTAAATGGTAGTATTGATTGGCTGTATGCTCCCCATGGAGTTGAGAAAGATATTGGCTGGTTGCAAAGGCCCAATAACCACAGATAATAATTTGTGAACTGCATTGTGACAACCTTGGTTGTAAGGAAGCAGTGTATAAGAACCTCAAATTGTAAAAAGTCCTTTCATTTTCTAAAAATTAACCCATTACATCTTTACCCACAAATCTTGTGGCTTGTTTAAAATGATAAAAGTCAAGATGGCTGTCTCCTAAGCAAACACATTATTTTGGCACCATTTGTCAACCCGAATTGTACCATATACAGAAAAATTATTACGTCTGTTTTGGATATTACCACCTACCATAGGTGTTTCTGCCAACCCCTTGAACATTTTATTGACTACTTGTATCTAAAATCAATTTATTATCCAGGCAAAGCCAGAAGTCACTGATTATAATGTCCTTTCTTCCTGTCAAGAGATATTAATCCCATCATTGACAGCTAAATTATTAATTGCTACTACCATGTGTAGAAATGCATTGTAAATTTGATTCGAAGCAAAGTACAATGGATTGATCCATGAAAATAAAAAATAAAAAAAAAAAAATAAAAAAAAAAAAAAAACCTACCAACCTANTACCAACCTACCAAATTTTTCTGGCATGTTATTTGAATGTATAATCTTATTTTAGCTAAACGATTTTAAACTGATTTCATTCAGCATATGTGAACAGACACAATGTGTTCAGTGACTGTATTTACTTGACCATCAAGGATAGAAACAGGAGACAGATTACAGATAACTTTAAAGAGAAACAATTGAATTTAAATGAAATTGATCTGGTAGAGATGTAACTGTTTCAAAATAGATATTTTAACACTTTAAGATTAGAATGTTAAAATCATGTCACATTACTTGACAAAATTTATGAATGGATAATAATTTGGTATCCTTTAATTATGATTAAGGGAGATAACTCTAAAACTCAAGTCATAGTTAAATCGTGTAATGTAGCATAACTCTTTAAATGAATGGAACCAACTCAGATTTGGAAAATGTAAAAAAAAATAATTATTAAATAATAAAATTATATCTCAAAGAATTCAATAGTAGTATTTAAATATGAAAAAATATTAATATTATATAAAGTTTCATTGCACTGATTTATAGGAAGTTTGTCACAGCTACTGCACTCCAAGTGGGGACCTTTGAAGGACAATGAGACAACTATAGCTTACTACACCAAACAGATTCTTGACGGACTCAAATATCTGGTAAGTTTCTGTATACAGGGAAAGGACAATGTATGGTTTGGGCTTGTTTTTGGCCCCCAAATGCATCAAAATTCAAGCCCTTTAAATGAACTTTGAAATGACTGTTTCTTTTATTTTAAATACTTCCCAAACACTGTCATGAAAATATTTATTTGTATTTCTAATTATTGTTGCCATGGTTAACAAGTTCAAATTTGCATAAATTAGAAAAAAATGAATATTCAGCAAATTTTGTCATATTTTGAATAGTTTCTCTCCTGGAAACTGTAGAGCGCATGCTTGAGCAAACTCAAAATCAAAGGATAATGTGTAGACACCTGTAATACATCTTTAGTGGAAAGTTTGGTCAAGAGTGCGCTCTATGGTAACTAAGAGAAAAACCTGTTAAAATTTACAGAATATTCAAATTTCATTAATTTATGCAAATATAAACTGGTTACCATGGCAGCCATAATTGAAAAACCTAAATTAATGTTTACGTAATAGTATCAGGGAAGTATTCAAATTAAGAAACAGTCATTTGAAAGTTCTGTTGAAGATTTTTAATTTTGATGGATTTGGGGGCCAAAATTTCCGCCCTTTTATCACTACAGCGAACACTAGTCAACAGCATGATTTACAGAATAATTAAATGTATACGGTGAAAATAAATCTGCGTGAATTCATACTTGCCATCTTTTTAAAATTTCCATGGGGGAGATTCTGCATGCTCAAAATTAAAACATAAATAGAATGTGTATATACATCCCCTAGAGACAAAATAACTCTCTAAAATGAAATATTTTGTGTTGTTCTCTCAGATGTAATCATTAGATCTTAGAATATAGGAACAGTTAAGTAAATTCACTTTTAAATTTAAGGATCCTAAATCGGGAGTCTCTGTCCTTAATAGAGTTGGTTGGCAAATATGTGAATTAGGATTTCACAGGCAGAGGGCGAAAGTTTTACTGGGCATAGAAGTCAACAGCATAATTTACAGAGTAATAAAATGTGAAAGGCGAAATTAAATCTGGTGAATTAGGATTTCACAGGCAAAGGGGGAAAGTTTCACTGGGCATTAAAGTCAACAGCATAATTTACAAGATAATAAAATGTGAAAGGTGAAATTAAATCTGGTGAATTAGGACTTCACAGGCAAAGGACAAAAATTTGACTGGGCATTAATTTCCCAGTATACTGTATTGTTACTGAAACATATAATGCCCTCAATACATAGTGGTGATGCATTAAGGATTTGCCTTATTATCCAATGATCCGTCTGTATGTCATATTGATAAGACTTTTTACTCCTGATAATGGTTTGATCTCAACGAAATTTGTTACGTACATACATGTTGACATGTCTCGGGCTTAGTTTGATCGTGAATGTGATCATGTGGTCCATGAATATTCAGGTATACTTAATGAGGTAACAAACGTGTGATTGGCTAATTTATTTATGTGCAATACCTGCCCAACTAAGGTTCAGTTTCGATGATATTTGTTCCACACATATGTATTGACATATATCTCGGACTGAGTTCCAACATGAACGTGATCCGTGCATATTTACGGACAATCAATGAAGATACAGAATTGTTAATTTGTTTCCATGCAATAACTGCCATTTCAATTTCAATTAAATTTGGTTTGCACATACATGTTGACATGTCTCAGATTCAATAAATAAATAAATAATCTTTATTTAACATTGTGTACATTGTCAATAACAAACATAAGGTCTAAAGCATGTCCTACTAGTAGGGGCTAGTATACATTCGGCAAATTTTCTTCATTTATTTAATTTAATTTGTTTTTGTTTTTTTTGTTGTTGTTTTTTCGCTTTTCAGAAAAATGTGTTTTCACCTTTGAACTTGTCTTTGTAGCACGACGGTATGATCGTACACCGAGACATAAAGGGAGACAATGTACTGGTGAACACCTACAGTGGCGTGCTCAAGATCTCCGACTTCGGCACATCAAAGAGGCTGTCTGGAATTAACCCCTGTGCAGACACATTTGCCGGTAAATCTTCCCCGAAAATAATCTGCATATATTTTTGAAATATTAATAATGTTACATTCCTGTTTTGCATCGATATTCATGAACCGATGCAAACTCAAAATGTTAATTTGAAAGTGTAAAACAAAGATTTACATATGATAGTTTTCCAGTTGGAAGCTTTCGGGTATTTCCTTCATGCTATTTTAGTAATCAGGTACAAATTGTGTTGTAGTGTCAAATTCAAACTTCGATGGAAATTCCTTAACAGTCTCTGATACACATTTGTATCTTGATGGAAAAAAAACATTCTTTCCTGCTACTTTTTTGGATGAGAATTTCTTGAGTTTCATGTTCATGATGTCTGACCTGTAATTTTATCCTTAGGAACGATACAGTACATGGCCCCGGAGGTCATCGACAGGGGAGCAAGAGGATATGGACCGGCTGTGAGTTTCTCCTTTTTACAAAAAAAATCAGCAAAAATGTTATTGATTTCGGCTTCATTGTTCTTGCTTCAGACATGGGGTTTTTTTTTTGGGGGGTGGGGGGGGGGGCAAAATTGTGTAATCTTTCTGCTATAATCATTATTAGTATGACTACAGGACAGATGCTATTTTTAGCTGGTGGGGATAGCCCAGCACATCCTCGACACTCCAGGGGTTGCACTAATTTTTCGATCTCTGCACCCGTGGAATATGCCATAGCAAAATTGAAGGCTCAGTGTGCGCCACCTGGTGGTGAGACAAGAAGACTAGTTTGGTTATTTGATGAACATCAAAAGAATCTCACGGTGGTCGCGTAACAGTAAAATTGGCTGTCTTTGAAGTTGGGTGCTGCTCCTTTGTTGTCTTCAAAAGACACTGGTATCAGAGCGTAGTGGTTGATCAGGGTTTTTTATACCCGAGACCAATCGAATAGCTAACCACGTGCCTTCAATTTTGCTATGACATATTCCAGGGGTGCAGAAAATGTAAGTGAGTCTTTACTCTTACACCTGGAGTACAGAGAATGATCCCAGCAGCTTACTTTATCATGACAAGAGAACTGGAAAACTAGGGTACAGTTTGTGTTTATTTCTTCATGTTGGTAAGTATGGATTATGAAAAATTTCTTGTTACACAACCAGTAAGTGTTTCTGGGTGACGTTTCGATGACTAGTACAGTATGTACACTGTCACCTTCATCAGACAAATGACCAGTGAAGCGTATGCACACAAAAGTGTAAAACGTGTACGAGTTGTCCACAAATCGATGTCGATTTCAGCTACGCTGTAAGCATATGTACAATTGTTGTTATATGTGTACCGAAATGTCTCGATTCAGCTACGCTTTTTTTAATACTTGGTCATGTTTAACAGAATTACATCATTATGTAATTCGTAAGTCCCCCAAGAAATAATATTTTCCTTCAGTTCATCAATATTGCTCCCTTCAAGTTACTTGGCTCGGCTAGCATCAACTGATTCTTGACATATATTTCCTTACCACATAGCCAATCAAACTGAAGGTAGTACCAAACACCACAGCTGTTATAGCCCCTTAGCCCAAATGTATTATTTGTGTAATAAATTGAAGTATTTAATCTCAATATTCCTTGCTTGTGCCTTTTGTTCACAAACCATGATTGTTATTTTTTATGAGTATTTGCCAACTGTCATCATGCATCGTCCCTCATGTGTTAGCATGACATGTATTGTATCATCATAAGGCGTCGCGTCATAAAATGGGATATGTTTCCACATGCCATTACATGCAATGAATTTAAGCATCGGTTAGTTTACATGTGAAGTCCCGACACACACAAACACACACAGGCACCGATGAAAATAAACCCATCAATATATGAATATAAGTGTTACTATATTACTAGTACAGACACTTCGAGACGCACATACGAAAATGTCTTCTTCACAAATTTCAATTAAATGAATTATGAAAAGTTAACAAAATATATTAATTGTGGTATATGACTTCATGGTAACTGCGGGAACCGTAGCTTCTAGGCCCGATCTTTGTTTTAAAAAAATATTATTATCGGACCATAGGTCAAAGGTACTTTCATTTTCTAAAAATAAACACATTACATAAAATTAAAAAGATCGGGCCTAGAAGCTACGGTTCCCGCATGGAAGAGGTGTTCCAGTGATTTTGAGTTGTGTCATGTACATGTATTTGTTTAGAGAGAGAGAAAGTGTAGAAAGAGGACGGGAGGAAGAAGTGTATTGTGATGCACTGAACTTAACAATAATATCACAGGGATGTAAAGAATGCTTGTGATGAATGTCTTTGTAGGCTGATATCTGGTCCCTCGGCTGTACTGTCGTGGAAATGGCTACAGGAAAGATGCCGTTCATTGAGGTATGAGATTAAGATTTCTGTCTTGGTTTATGCATAATTTAAGTATTAATTTAAAAAAACGAAAAAAACAGTTTCTTTAGCTAGAAGTCTCACTAAATGCTGAGTTTTGGTGTAGCTATCTATATGTAGCATAGGATTAAGGTCGCTTTCTAGCTTCGCGCTAGAGGGAATTTCCCTTTAGCTCAGTGGTAGAACGTCGGACTAGGAACCAAGGGATCGCGAGTTTGATCCCTAGTGAAGGCACACTACTCTCTTTCCTGTTACAAATGATGTCCGTGGCCCTCTTTGTGGTGACAAGGAGTTAGAACCTGGGTTGTGGTGTTCGAGGGCGAACACATTGAAAAAGTGGGGAAAAGTGTAGCAGATTTTAATTCTGCATAGGATTACGGTCACTTTCTAGCTTTGCACTAGAGGGAATTTCCCATAGATCAGTGGTAGAGCGTCAGACTAGGAACCTGGAGATCGCAAGGTATCCCTTACTCTCTTTCCTGTGATATTTAAAAGTCCCACAACGCTTAATACAAAGTTTTACTACACACAAGAATGGTCAAGAGAAAGTTGCCATATAACATAGACGTAAAATCTTTTTAAGTACGATGTCTGATCTCCTAATGTTTGGTTTGGTTGTACAGAGTTAAACTCCTTTCAGCAGCTAAGGTCATTTAACTCATTCACCCCTGAAATTGCATAATGAACTATTCCAACATTTGAATTGGAAGAGTTCAAACGTGTCTTCAGGGGTGGATAAGTTAAGGACGTGTTCTCACAAACACTTGTGTGCAATAATTGCAGTGATAAATATTTGTTTTAGCTGAATAATGTCTCAAAATTAAAAAAAAAAAATGGTTCCTTTACAGCTTGGTAGTCCAGAGGCTGCCATGTTTAAAGTTGGATTTTACAAGAGTCACCCAGAGATCCCAGAGAGCATGTCCCAGAATGCCAAGGCATTCCTTCTACGGTAAGTGCACAACTAGTCAATAACTTATCTGGAATTCAATAAACTTTATGAGGTACAATTAAAATTTGAACCTGTAAAAGAGTATATGGTATACATGGACTTACCTATTGAATCTAAACAATGTACTAGGTAACAGTGACCCATTGAATCTAAACAACGTACTAGGTAACAGTGACCCATTAAATCTAAACAACGTACTAGGTAACAGTGACCCATTGAATATAAACAATGTACTAGGTAACAGTGACCAATTGAATCTAAACAACGTACTAGGTAACAGTGACCCATTGAATCTAAACAACGTACTAGGTAACAGTGACCCATTGAATATAAACAACGTACTAGGTAACAGTGACCCATTGAATATAAACAATGTACTAGGTAACAGTGACCCATTGAATATAAACAATGTACTAGGTAACAGTGACCCATTGAATATAAACAATGTACTAGGTAACAGTGACCCATTGAATATAAACAATGTACTAGGTAACAGTGACCCATTGAATATAAACAATGTACTAGGTAACAGTGACCCATTGAATATAAACAATGTACTAGGTAACAGCGACAAGTATGATGCTGAATTTTAACGTTTTTATTTCCAGCTGTTTTGATCCTTCTCCAGATGAACGGGCTACGGCAGAGGAACTCCTAAAACATCCCTTCATCACCGAGTAAGTTTACTCTTTAAGTTTAAACTTTTACTATATTTTACCCGCAATAATTCTATGCTTGATGTAAAATGCACTTTTACTAGGTTTTTCAAAAAAATATTGTGAAGTAATTCTTTGATAGTCGTTTGTTTCACGGATTCGCTATAATAATCAATTTTTGCAGGACCTAGGTTTTTTTTTGCAGATTTCAGGTCCAGTGACCACAACACATATTGTAAAGCAGGATTTTTTTCATGGGGATGATATTTTTGCTATTTCGTGGGTCAACAACCTGAAATTTTTTATCTGCAGAATAACATTACCACCTTGTACGTAAATGAGCCACAATGATAAGCTTCATTACCGTAATGTTGTTATTATGTTTGAAAATAGATTAAATCACACATCTTGTAGTTTTGCTGATGATTTGTCTTTAAAATATGCACTTCTTTTTTGCTCAATATGCTGTGATAAAGCCTATTCATTTGACACTATGTACTGAGTGTCCAGTCTCTGTGCTAAAACATGGCGAAAATTTAGTTCCTTTACATATCTAGATTGTGAGATTATAATCTGCATGAATTAAATTTTCTGATTTTGGGTCAAAATCTCAAAAATTAAAGCCTGCGTAAATAACCTGTTATTTACGGTACTTCTATGTTAAGGATGGATTAAATTGCTATTTAATTTGTTGAATGTAGTTTTCACAGAAAAATTGTTGGTATGATAATGACAGAAGATCCCAGCGAAAAAAAAAATGTTTTCACAGTATACAAGAAAATGATATAATAATAATATACCACATTAGATATAGCGCCCTGTCTAGTTAGAATAAGCCACTCTATAGCGCTTTACAGTACATAGATATACAATTTATACAATCAATACAATGAGCACTTACATTAATCAATACAATTTATGAGGAATTCGCAGGAGCTGCCTTATCAGGCGCTAACTACTAGCCCTATGCCACCTTGCTAATATCTCCCTATGTGTGTATGCCTACGTGTGTGCTGGAGATGTATTTTGTTCTGTTTGTAGTGAGACTGTGCTTCCAACGGCATCATTTATAGTGCCACCTCACTTGAATGATACAGCATAGATACCACAACATCCACCCGAGACCAATTTATACTCCACCTGGGTTGTTGGAGTTGTGTGGGCAGGAGAAAAACACTTTCTCTGAATATCCATGCATACGACGACTTATGCCCCTTATTTCACTTGCCATGGTCTTGATTATGAGTGGAGTTTGATGATTCTCATTTTACTTTCTCCACAACCTCTTCAGTTCCATAGTTTGTTCAGGTCTAAATGTTATTAAAAAAGGTTTTATGTGTACACTTTAATGTTTAAATCTTCGTCATATGTGTGTTTTGCAGAACACTTGCAAAGAAAAAGAAGAAGAAAGTTCACGATGTGGAATATCTTAGAAGTACATCAAGTAAGTAGATCTTTGAAGATGGCTGTGTTTGTGTGTGGAACACTCGCAATAACCAAGTAACCGTCTGCATTTTGTACCCATAAAAGACCTTTTCACAGCAAAGCAAAACCTCTCTGTATACCACTAAATGTATATTGTATTCTGGAAATTTTCGCTGCAGTTTTATTTTTTCGATTTTTTTCACCTACCATAACGAGGGTGAATTTATCATTGCAGTCAACTTTGGTAAACAATAAAATATGCATAGTAATTAAATGTGAATGGCAAAATAAACATTGGGTGAATAAGAATTGTTCCTACGAGGGGCAAAATTCCACTGGGCAAAAATTTCCTGGTATACAGTAATCCCACATAAACCTTAATCGGGAAATTTATTGTCTTATCTGGATCGCCTTTATTACGTCCCAGGCTCCGTAAGGGGCAACAATATGGCTAAGTATTTTCAGTGTACTCCATATCCAGTTTTCCTTTTCTCAAAGCTTTTCACAGTCATTTATTTGCTTAATTTTCTTTTTCAAGTTTTTTGTTTTTGATGCATTTATTGACTTTTTTTGCTTCATTTGAAAACTGAACCTTAATATGTGTATTTACAGTCAAACCTTTATTTAGACACCATCTTCAGGAAATCCATAAAGTGGTCTCTTATTGCAGGTGGTCTCTTAATACAGTTAGTATTAAGTCATTCACCCCTGAAATTTCATAATGAACTATTCCAACATTTGAATTGGAAGAGTTCAAATTTGTCTTCAGGGGTGAATGAGTTCAAATAACTAAAATGGAGAGTTTTAAAGGTGGCCTCTTAGCACAGGTGGTCTCTTGAACAATAAATTACTCAGAAATTCCTGTTTATCACATCATGTGTATGTCAAGTGTGTAATGTGTGTGTGTCATGTTCTTAAGGTAATGAGTACCACTGCATCTTTTATCAACACAAAGAAGAGTTCCAATCTAGAGTCGTTAGCATGCCTATTCAGAGACTCTCCTATCCTAAGGGCATTGGCATTCCATTTTCAGGTTGAAGTTTTTGAGAAGTTTTTTCTGACAGTGTTGACGTGGGATCACCACAGTCAAGGGGTTGTTGACTATCTTAACTCATTCACCCCTGAAGACACATTTGAACTCTTCCATTTCAAAGGTTGGAATAGTTCATTATGAAATTTCACGGGTGAATGAATTAAGGTTGAGGCATTTATATAGAGTGTGTACAATGTACTGAACCACATTTTCATATTTTTCGGGCAAAAAATAGAGCTTAATTTGAGAAGGTTGAAGCTTTTGAGCAAGTTTTCTTCAGACAGTGTTAAATCACCACGCTTACTAGGCTGTTGAAGTAATATGCTGAACCACTAGTCATAATATAGGGGCCAAAGACGGGACTTACTTTTATTCAGCTTGTTCTGTGATTCTGCAGGGGCCCCACATTAGTCATCTTTTATGATACATATGCAGTGGGATATTCTAAGTCTATTCTTGGTTTCCTCAATGCCCCCCTTAACAGAAGACAAGGAAAACACCACCCTCGATTCTGCGGGGGGGGGGGCACAGTACTCAAAATATTAATACCTGTTCAGCAACCTAAAACATAAAACATGAACATGTAGCTGGAAAAGAATTGTACTTGCAAAGGATCAGAATGAAAGGTGAACACCTTCTCAGGAGCAGGAAGTCTGAGCCAGAAAATCTTTTTTTTGTTGCTTTACTCCAAATAATAATAATTAAAAAAACAACTCTGGAGAGGAACTCTTCGGTGTGTGATTTAAACTTTTGCGTTGGCAGTCTTTAATTTAATTATCGGCTTCCATCTTTAAATATGTCTGTCAATAAAACCGCACATTTTTTGCAGACGTATTTCTGAAATAGAAATACATGTGTAAGTACAATAAATTCGACTGATTTTATCTTGTTAGGGATACTGAGGAAGAGAAAAAGTTGTGAGTAAAGCATGTGGTTGGGACGGACATGGAAAGGTTACACAATGTGATTCGTGTTTAACTTAGAATACAGTTGAGCTTCGCTATCTCTAGAGTCACACAGGCAAATAATAATGGGGAAAAAAATCAGAGTACTTTATGTGTGAATCTGTGACCTTTGACCGTTGATTTCTGTGACCTTGACCTTAAGTTTTCAGAAAAATATGTTTTGGCTGGGTAATTTTTTTATTTATTTTTTATGTATTTTTTAAAGAAGAATTTTGAGGTTGTCATCATTGAGTTTATGAAAATGTAGAGGAAAAACGATGTTTGCATTCTGGAAACGTTATTATTCCGTCTTTGCGTATTGCAGAGTTGTCCTCTTTTGGGAGCAGGTATTGATTGTTACGTCCCTTGTTTGTGAGAGTAACGTCATCAATTTTTGAGAAAACGACGTAATTTTCTCACACAAACCAATGATGTAACAATCAATACCTGCTCCCAAGAGAAGATAACTCTGCAATACGCATAGACGGAATAGTGTGAATTGACATAGCCTGTGAATTTAGCCTGTACATCGTTGATATATTGGGAAAAAAGGTTTATCTGAAAGTGAAGCTGGTCTCGCTAATGGCATTTAACCATGCTTGAACCAGACCTAAGGATCCCTGTCCCACTGCAAGCAAAATACTAAATAATTCTTTTGTAGTGTTTTCGTACGTACAGTTACGCAAAAAAAATTGTGTTGCCTCCAGTATTTATTTCAAGAATACCAGGGTCCGGAGCCCTGGGTTCCCTGCTGTGTAATGGTGAATCTCATTTGGGAGGCAGCTTCTTTTTTCTTTCATTTGTTCTGCTTTCATTTCTTCTTTTTCTCTTCAGCCTGTCATTCTTTCATTCTCATTCATTCCATAAAGCTGGTTTCCTCTTCAAAACGTACTTCCCTGTCCACAAACTTCTGCTTGCTTTTATCTCCATCCATCCTCAATACTCCAGGTGTTACTTTCACTTATGCTTTTTGCACCCCAAGAAGATGTCCTGGTAAAATTGAAGGCATGTGGCTAGTGGCTATTTGATTTGTCCCGGTGGGAAAAAAATACTGACCAGTTGCTAGGCTGGTGCCTGTCCTTTGAAGATTATGGAGGAGCGACACCCAGGTTCAAAACAGACTTCAAAATTTTACCATTATGCTGTCGTTTGATTCTTTTGATGTACATCAAAGGATCAAACCAGTCTTCTCTTCTCATCCACAAAGTGGCGCACACTAAGCCTTCAAATTTCTCGTGACATCATTCAGGGGTGCAGAGAGTGTAAGTGAGCAAAACCCCTGGAGTATTGAGAATAACATCCACCCTGAAATTATATTTTGAACGAAAATAGCATATCATAAAACTTTCATTTTGTGCGCTTAATTAGAGTAACATTTGAAGAGATCAGTGTCAGATGTTTGTATGTGAAATGAAATAAACTGTTAAAAAACAAAGGGGTGCTGCTTAGGGTAACATTAAAGTATCAGCTTATCACAGGTAAATGGTTGTGTTTTCATTGTGTGTCTGAATGTATGTACACTTGTAGCAAGGTGGTCAAAAGTGAAGGTTCAAGGGTCAAGAAAGGTCAGCAGTGACCACAGAATAACTAACTCGTAGATTCTTAGACAGTGTCACGTGGAATCTTGTTAATCTTCGAAATAGAGGCAAATTTATCATAATATCGAATATTTGTACACAATTTCCCCTATGCAGTAATTACATATGATGGGCGAAAATTACACTTTGTCGATTTTTTTTGTAAATCAAAGGAAAGCTGTGGCACTTGTACGCGCGTAATCTTCAAAGACTAGGCATCATTATAGTGATTGGTCAGTTTATTTCACCTGAAACCAATCAAATAGCTTACTGCCTGCTTTCGATTTCTCCATGACAACAATTGTACGGGTGCAGAGAATTAAGTGATCGTAACCCTTGGAATTTCGAGAATGGGTTGGCCCTAATCAAAATTTTTGTATATTATTTTCATGCATAATGTGGAGGCACAGATTCAAAATTGTATAATACACTTAAAATTTGAGTTTGCTTAAGTAATGGCTTGACAATAGTCGAAGTTAACAAGATTCCATTAGAGTCTGGCTTACAATGCCAAAGTTGCGAAATGTTCACTATCAGACAACGCTACTCACAATATACTCACAATATGTGTGCAAAATAACAAATGCTTTGACGGTTCTTGGTAACTTGTGTTGGCGTTTTAAGTCTGAAAATTATTAAAAGTCGGGTTTTTTCGTAAAATGAAAATACAAATAAGTAAATATTTACAATACAGTACAAATAGATAAGCCTTTCTGGCAAGAAAAAAGAAAACTAGAAGCCATTTTTGTTCATAAAAACTTTATTTTGGCATAATGGCCTAATGGCCATATTATGTTGAGGGGGGGGGGGGGACAATGGATGTTGTTCTTATGAACTGGCTGCAATATTTTTTTGCCTGCGAAGCAAAGGTCACATTACTGTGTCAGTGCCGTTGTTTACTTAAAGATTTACATGGGTTAATCATTGCTAGCTCTGGACCTGAATTTGTTTTCAGCAATGAGTTATTTTCAGAAAGGAGGCAAAAGTGGTAATGCGGCAACAACTAGCTTCTGCGATTGCAGGTGAAAAGCTAAACCTTAATTAGTACAATCTATACGAGTGAGTATTCAAGTGAAAAAAATATTTTAATTTTATCTATCAAAAAAAATAAGAAAATAAAAACCAAATATCAAAGTGATATTTTTTAAAACTGTAGTTAATCCTTTCACCCCTGCAGACCATAATGGACACATCCATATCAATGCACAGTAGAGTCTACTTAAGTTACCTAGGGGTGAAACGGTTAATGTAAACAATTTTATCTTGTGAAGGTAATAGAGCTGTAACTTTGCTGCCAAAATGTAATCCGCTGAGAACGTGATTTTTCTGCATCTATCGTTAGGCATTGTTGTTGACCATGCAACTTTGTTTATTTTGATTTATTTAATAACTTTATGTTAATTGCTTAATCAATTCATATAGCAACACAAATATCTATTTTGTATGTTTTGATTAAGATTAAATAGTTATAAGTTCATCTGTTGTTTTGAACCAAAAACTATTTGTAAGTCAATAGTAACACGTAATTTTGTAGGTTTTGAAATAGTAAACATGGTTCACCCGTATTTATAGCTTTGTACTGATGTACTGCTGACATAACCTACATATCAAGGTCAAGGTCACAATCAAGGTCATAGTAAAGGTCATGGTCATGATAAAAGTCATGGTTAAGGTCATAATCAAGGTCAAGGTCATGCTCAAGGTCATAGTCAAAGTCATGGTCAAGGTCATAGTCAAGGTCATGATCAAAGTCATGGTTAAGGTCATTCAAGGTCATCGCCAAGGTCATAGTCAAGGTCGTGGTCAAGGTCTTGCATGTGTTTGAAATTCAGAGATTCTGCTCTCAATATGCATATCTTTCTCTGTACTATGGGAACAAGTCATCCAAAAACCAAAGAATTGACGTAAGCTATTTGATTGGTGTCGGGTATAAAAACTTGATCAATTACTAGGCTGACACCTGTCCTTTGAAGATTTCAAGGGACCTCCACCCAAATTCAAAGCCTGTCAACATTGCTGTTACATTGCTGTTACATTGTTGTGCAATTCCTTTTGTCTTCATCAAAAACATCACCCTATCTTCTTATATCGTCTGCAAGGTTTTTGCGTAAAGAGCCTTAATTTTATCCAGTCATATTCTGAAGGTGTAGAGAAGATACATGTAGGAAAAGCGGAACTCTTTTGAGTTTAAAGATGGATTTTGTTTGGAAAATACATCTCGGAAATAAGACAAGTTGATTTCAGTCCTATGATGTTTCCAAACCATACAGTCAAACTTCGATGTTTCAAACTTTGCGGGATGATCGAGAAAATAATCGAAACATTAGGACTTCACTCATGAACGCTGACAATCAAACATCATTGAGATCCTGTAAAAGACTGAATGATTCTTAAAAGTCAGGCTTAGAACTTAGTTTTAAAATCTAAATTTTCAGTAATCAGAAAAGAGTGTTCATGTATAAAACTAGTTTATGTGGTAATTTGATCAAATTCAACATTTCTTTGTTTGTCAATTAAATTTCTGAAGCCTGTGCTTATATGACTTTCAATGCTTTCCTAAGGAACAGACCTTGATTGTTCTAAGAAACAGCAAGAACTTTGACTACTAAAAGTTTGATTTATCAATAAAATATAAAAAGTGTTAATAAATATATAGTCTGTGTTTAGCTTTGTAATCCATGAGTCGTAGTTTTTATCTTGACAAATTCTAGTGAGCTGCATAAGGTCCTTTTTGCATCACGGTTTTTATTATTAATTATATTTAACCGATTCTTATTGGTAAATTGAAAAACGAATCCTAGTGAAATTTACAAACTTACAAACATGACATTAGTTTGACTGCCTTAGGGGATACTGTGCTACAAATTATCCTTTGTTGAATTTTTTTAATTAGTGACAAAAAAGTGTATGCAGGTTTAAGTTTTGTCTGTATTGTAAATGTAGCGAAATTTACTTCTTTAAACGGAAATAAATATAGAGATATTTTTGATTGTTTTTTTAATTAAGGACAAAAAAAGTGTTTGTAGGAAGTTTTGTCTGTATTGTAAATGTAGCGAAATTTACTTCTTTAAACAGAAATAAATATAGAGATATCGTTCCTATTACCATAGACTTCGGGTAAAATGTTGGATATTTAACTTACTCACCCCTAAAATTTTAAACTGGACCTGCCCAGTCAGTGATTTGGTAAGGTTCAAATGTGACTTTAGGGATGAAAGGGTTAAAAGTATAAAAAAAAGTACAATAATTTCTACCAGATTCTAATTGATACTTGATTGATGTCGGCATTATCATTTTCATGAATAGTTTTGACTGATGTAGGCAGAAATGTTGATATGGGTCAACATCCCAAATATGCATGAAGTATAACCGAAATATATCTTCTTTAAATGGACATCATAACTGTAAATTTTCTTGAATTTATTTTCTTAAATATATTTCTCACTTACCTTATATAACGTAATAGCACCTCAAGTTTGTTAATTAACATATTACTTGAATGCTTATCGTAAAATTGTATTTTTTTTCTGTTCCAGTCTGAATATATATCTTGTTGTTTATTCGTGACAATTTCCGACAACAAAACGGCATTGTTGAAGTCCATCCAAGCATTAGTAATGGGACTGAAAAAGATAATTTTTGGAATAATATTACTAATGGGGAATTTAATTTTAGGTACAATGACTTTTATATACTGTTGAATTTAACACTGTGTGAAAATGTCCACATTTTTTTTCATTGAGTAAACTAGTTTAAACATATCCACATGCGATGATATATGGATTACATCTTATGATATTTATATAGATTTCATTTTTTTTTTTGCCAAAGCAGTATCCAAGTCTCGACCAGAGAGTAAACGAAGGCCTCTCTTGCCATTTACTTGTACCTGGCACTTTCTTTTTAGATAGATCAAATATTGTATGTGGGAAAAAACCAAGCATGCATTTTTTTAATTTAAATATCAGAATTTATAAGTAAATTAGTTTTGTCAATGTTGTTGAGGAATAGACACTTTCAGATTTTTTTTTTTAGTTTTGATTTAGTTGGATTTAGCCTGTGACAAAGTTAAATGTTTTGTTTCTGTCCTAGATGTGGCTTCATAGCATATAGTCTGCATAATATTTTTTTATAAGCCGGTATATAGTTGCTTATTAATTCAAAATATATATCTATTTTTTTAGCTGATTTCCCAAATACATGATACATATTAAAGTTTATGAAATATTGTATCCTCTGCATAGTTTGAGAATAAATAATGTTTCAAAGTCGTTGTGTTTGATGTACTGGTATTAAAAATAGAATCCTGAAAAATATCAGAATTTTTGGGTAAGTTATTTCAAAATATTTCCTATTTTGAAAAAAACATAGTTAATTCTTTAAAATATCATTTCAATAAGTATTTCAGTTCTGAAATCTGACATGTTGGAAGTAATTTAAATTTCACATTTATAATAATTTATTCTCAACAAATCATATGTTTCAGGTATCTCATCATCATATAAAGTTCAAGGTCATGATAGCAATAAGTTCAAGGTCGTGACCTAATAAGTTAAATCAGTTCAAGGGCACAGTCACGGGTCAAGTTTGGAATAAAATCCTTAAGGTCAAGGTCATGGAGTTGATGTCAAGGTCATTTGGACAATGAACCTACTGTTGTTGTATTCTTTAAACAAGACACTTTACCTCGATTGTTCCAGTCTATACAGCTGTTCAAATAGAACCTGGGAAGTAATACTGGGAAAGACCAGTGTAACCTTCCAGGAAGGAGATAGCGACTTTTATCAGCTTCATGCCATGGAAAATGGGTTTGAAATATAAAAAGAAAAAGAAAAAAGAACAAAAACCACATGGCTTTCTTTATGATGGAGGTTGTAAAATTTGTGAGTAAAAAATTCCTGTGTGTGTTTGTTTTCAGTGCCAGCCGGCCATGAAACCCGAAGTAGCAGTAAAAGCCCAATGAAGTTACATTTGCCAAAAAAGAAAAGGTTTGTTACTTTTCATACTTTATACTTACACAATATAATTTGGTACTTGATTTTCAGATAAACACCTTTATTTTGACTGAAGAAATTACATCATTGTTTTCGTTTTAGTTTGCCAACACTTTGCAAATAAAATAAATTTCTGAAGCTATTTTTTTCTGAACAGGTCATGCTTTAATAAGACAATTGAATTGTATTTTAAGATGTTTAATTTTTGTAGTGTATTGGTTTTTGGAAAGTAATTAATTACACTTCTATAGATATTCACCAACTGTTTACAACACTTGGGCATCAGCTCCTAAGCTTGTCGGATGACTCCACTCACCAAAGATATGTCTCCATAAGATTTAGACAATTTTCTGAAGAATATACAAAATCTGGAGAAGAAAAAAACATGTTGTTTCAACCAGAACAGAATTAAATATCAAAGGAAGCGGATTGATGTAATACCATATAGCTGAATATTTCCATACTTGAGCACGAGAACGGTTTCGTTAATATGGGCCCCTGTTTTTTCCCAAATCAAAAATATGCCGGTCTTTGCGGCTGAAAAAGAAAGAAAACTCACAGGATTAAATAATTCAACAAAATAGCTATATTTCCTTTAACTCTTTGTTATTTATGACCAATCAGATTAAGTATTGACATACTGGGAAGTGTTGCTAGGATGTAAGTATGTGGTTGTCATGGGAACGCTTTGTTACTGTTTTTCTGTTGGTATGCAGCAAGTCACCGTTAAATCCTGTTCGTTAATTAGATACTAAATATAAAAATGTTTTTGACACTAAAACCTTTTAGGTTAATGCATTACGCCAGCACACGTACTGCCTTTTTTTTTTTTTTTTTTTTTTTAACGGTTCTATTGTTAAAGAAGCATGGTGTGAATATGATGTGCACCTAAATCTTGCCTAAATTGTTTACTACAAGTTTAACTCGTTCACCCCTGAAGACTCATTTGAACTCTTCCAATTCAAAGGTTGGAATAGTTCATTATGAAATTTCAGGGGTGAATGAGTTAATAAGTCTAAAACAACATTACTTTGCATGTGTTCTATTAACTGTTGAAGGAGAAGATGATGGAAACAGTTTTGCATTGTCAGCTTTAATAACACATTGTGGTTAAATTTCAATTGGTGATATTTTCATTATATTAAAACTAAAACAGAAACATACCATACAATGGATTCAAAGTGATGATACCTTCATATCACATGCAAAAAAATGCTCATATTTTTAAATTTATGTTTTTATTAAGTGCCATTAATTTGATGGAGCTTTTAAAAAAAAAGTGATTTTTGTAAGTTTTATATATTGGCGATAATCCACAATGTTTACATTCACGGAAATTAATAAGTTAATGTATTATGCTAAGAAATCATTTACTCTATAGTTGTTAAATTTTGCTGAGTTTTGCGATTTTGTGTCCAGGGGTTTATTTTTTTTCGTGAATCACAATTTCTGTCTATTTCGGAACAACTCTGAGAGAGCTCCGAGTGTTTGTTACTACTTGCAACGAACAGTAATTCGACATTTATAAACCACACCGAGGTGAAGAGTTACCTGTTAAGCATGGATGTTATGGTGACAAACTCAAAATATTCACGAGGGTTTAAACTTCGCAAATTTTTAACTCATTCGTGAAATTAAAATCTTCATAAATATTAGCAACTTTACAGTATAGACTTACCAGATATTTAATAGCCTCAAGAAAAAATTAATAACAGACTGAAAAGAATCAAGCGTAACTTTTTGAGAGGAATATTCATTATTAAGGATCCTAGTGCTTAGAAAAGACTTGAACTGTCTCAAAGTAAGAAAACGATTTGGGGTTTTTTTCCTTTTTTTTTTTTTTAATGTTTTCTCTGGAGAATATACAAAGTACATTTAAAACTAAAATTTAAAAAAAAGATTGATCTAGCCATTTCCTTATCCACATGTTCAATTAACATGTAACCCATTAACATTTCTTTAAAACTGCTTGTTTATTAAAAGTATTTATTAAGTCACCTGAGCTTTGCTCAAGTGACCTATTCTAATCACTTTTCGTCCGTCGTCGTCCGTCGTGCGTAAACTTTTACATTTTCAACTTCTTCTCAAGAACCAGTGGATGGCTTTTTTTTAAACTTGGTCAGAATCATCCTTGGTAGATGAGGCTTCAAAATTGTAAAATTGGGATTACTACCCCAACCCCTGGGGCCAGGGCGGGGCCCCAAAGGGAAAATTAACCAATATTTCAAAAATCTTTTCCTCCAGACTCAGAGGTACTACAGTGATTTTCTCTATTTTGAAAGATAGATCATCAGGGGCTTTACTAAAATTGTAAATTTCAGGACCCCCGAGCTATCCGTTCTCCCTTGGGGAGGGGGTAAAGTTTACTATAGTTTATATAGGGAAATAACACTTTTGGGCATATTTTGACAACTTTCTGTAGGAAATTATTTTTACTTGGTGAGAATTATCCTTGGAGGAAGATGGTTTCAAATTGTAAAATTGAGATTCCTACCCCGACCCTTGGGGCCAGGGTGGGGCCCCAAAGGGAAAATTAACCAATATTTCAAAAATCTTCTTCTTCAGACTCAGAGGTACTACACTCATTTTCTCTATGTGGAAAGAAAGAACATCAGGGGCTTTATCTAAATTGAAAATATCAGGACCCTGAGCTATCCGTTCTCCCTTATGGAGGGGGTTACGTTTAATATAGTTTATATAGGGAAATAACACTTTTCGGTATATATTTTATCCATTTTCAGCAGAAAATTGCTCAAACTTAGTCAGAATCATCTTGGGTAAATGAGAGTTTTACTTTGTAAAATTAGGATCCCCAGGGGCTAGGGCGGGGCCCCAAAGGGAACATTTACCAATATTTTCAAATTCTTATCCATTGATGACATGACAAGTATTGTATTTCACTTAGTTTACATGCTGATTTCCACATCACATCTAAACAATAAAATAAAGCTACCAGTACCTATGATATAACTCAGGTGACCGCTAAGGCCCTTGGGCCTCTTGTTAAAGATTGTCAGCTACACAAAAATTGATGGTAAATTAAAACTGCCCATGCATGTATTTACAACACTTCGGTTAAGTGAACCAAACAAGTTGATTTTAGTCGGCTGCTGACAAGGAATGGTTCTTTGTTTTATCCTCCAAAAAAATGTGGGTTTTCCAATTTTCATTTCCCAATTGATCAAATTTTCCACACAGAATATGATCCAGTAATTGTTTTTTACGCTCCCTACCCCACCATTGCATATAGTGTTAACCATATCTGTCCTGCCTCGTCCTGTCCATCCTGTCTGTCCTTATTCAGTGTTACTGTTCTGATGACGTCAATTCCAAAAGGTAATATTTACATTTCCGCTGCAAGTTCGTTCCTCTATAAACATTACCATAAGAAATCGCATTCATAGGACTATGAGCACAACTGAATCAGCATCATTTCAAAGCTTCTCCTCCCGACTCGAATAACATGAAACAACCGCTAGAAGCAAACAGTTTGATGACGTTAGACTGTTCTAGGAATCTCATTTGCACAGTAAACAGTAAAACCTTCTTATAATGCCCATAATTATATTTGTCAACTTGATTACTGCCATCATAGGCCAAGGTCCCCTTTACCTTTTTTTCCCTTGAACATTTCCCTCTTTTTAATGCCAACATTTACTGTCGGTCAAATGTTGGCGGTATAACAAGGTTTTACTGTACACTGTGTATTTTACTATGACAAACATCTTTGTTGAACAACAGGAGCAGATGATATGTGAGGCGTAAATTTCACAATCCAGTTGTACTTAGTCATATCATTAGCCGAAATGAACATTGTCAGATTTGATGTGTGTGTTATAAGCTTCTCTTTTTTTTTTTTTTTTAAATAATTAAAAAAACATTTTATGAAAAGTAAAAGCCGTTTGACTTTCAGCACTAAGCCTGTGGATGCCGCTCCGGAGAGCCCCAAAATATGTTCGCCGACAAAGAAGGACGAGAGATTGTATGTAAATGTGTTGTGGATTATTGTTTACTAGTGATGGGCTGATGATGATCAGTTTAGCCTTTTCGATTCTGATTATCAATTCTGTCACTTATATAATTGGTTCACTGTTGAAATCAAAGTGTCAAATTTAGGCAATGTAAAGTATGCATTGAAACCGTTAATTCTTTTGATTTTTTACTACATGTATATTATGATTGACAAAACTGAAATCCATTCATTATAAAAGAACAAAAACCTAATGTATATCTTACGCTCTCTGTCTATTGATGTAACGGTAGCATTCTGACTTTATTTGGTTATCTTCAATCGCGTGAAATTATAAACCGATTATTGCATGCGATCATCAATTGGTTTATCACTTCCGATTATAAACCGATTATCGATTACGATTTTAAACTGATTGCCCATCACTAGTGTTTATCAGCAATCTGCACGACCAATGAACCGGCATGAAATAGTCTTAAGTAGTCCAAGTGTGTGCTGTGTTGTAAAAAGTGTATATTTTATTTATTCCTTACCATATATATGTAAGATGAATCTTTGACTAACTATGTTATCAAGTGGAAATAAAAACCATTATTATTATTATTATTCTACTATGCCAAAGATGTTTAAGGGGGCGGGTGTGGCCAAGTGGTTAAGGCGTCTGACATTCTGCTACCACTAGCCCTCCACCACTGGGTCGCGGGTTCGAGACCTACGTGGGGCAGTCACCAGGTTTTTTCTCCAACACCAAAACCTGGCACGTCCTTAAATGACAATAGCTGTTAATAGGACGTAAAACACAAACAAACAAAACAAACCAAACCAAACCAAAGATGTTTAAGGGTCCAAGTCGCATTACTGGCAAAACACCAAAGAGTGCCACTTAACTTTTTTGTACATAGTTTAAACTCTCATTGATTCGGTGTTTGTCTCGCCGTCACGAGGAGCGGAAACGAAACTAAGGTGTTGCTTTTCAGGCAACGGCGGCGGTGGCGGCGTCAACATTAAGTTTTTGCGTTTAAGTTAGTTTCACTGAAAGTATAAGTGCTACACCAACCAAACTTGGACCATAGATGCATCTTAGGTAGTACATCTCAACCCATGCATCAAATGCTGGATGCTGCCTACCTTTCATGGTTCATTGACTTTGTCAGCATCTCCATCAACATTAAAATGTTGAGTATAAGTTGGTTTCTGTGATATGTCCATTGATGGTCAAAGCGGAACACAGGCGAGACATATCAATCTGAATGGCTTGTATATATAAATTTTATTATCCCCCGCTCAATGAAATTAGCAGGAGATTTAGAAATGGGGTCCGTCTGTCCTCCATCTGGTTAAGAAGAATTGGTCACATCCATGAATACCTAACTACAACTGCTATCCCTTCGATACTTTCATGATTGATGCATCTGGGGTGGTTCTACTGGTTGCATTTTGCGGATGCTGAATTTGACCTACATTTCACACTCCTGGGACTTGGTGACCAACAATTAGTGGTTTTTCATATTAACTCGTACACTATGAGTGAGCGATCTCGATGACAGCGTCTTCTTGTTTTAATCAACTTATATTAATCACTCTTGCTGGCCCAGATGTAAGCGTGCATTAGGACTTATTGAGGGAGGAAACTGGAGTACCCGTAGAAAACCCACACGGTTGGGGCAGGTGACCCCATATGCCTTTTCACATCCAATTGAGGAATCTACCTTAAGTGGTCTTGGTTAAAGGCATGTGCATTAACCACCAAATTTTGTTTTGGATAGTAACTGTAGTCGAACAATATTACATGACATTTATGTTTTATGTACCAAATGTACTGTAACTTTATTTTGTGTCATGTGTTCTCTGTTGATCAGGATCCAATCAAAACAGACGTAATTAATTTGAAAAATCTTTCAGTTTTCACAAACCTTTGTTTAAATTTGTGAAAGACTAAAAGCGTTACAAACATATTTATAACATCGATAATTTAAAATCTGTTTTCTAACGATGAAATGATCGAAATTCCATTCCACTTTTCATATTATTATGTACAAGTTATATTTTCCTTGGTTCTCGGTTCATCTTGTTTGGGAAGGTAGTCAGCTGGAATAATTGACGTAGTTTATTTGTCTTAAATATAAAATACCTTGAAACGGCCAAAATAGCTTGGATTTTGTAAGGGAGATAATCCCTAGAGAATATAGACAAATCCAAACCAGGGCGAGTCCAGAAAAAATGTTCCTTGGCTATCTCTGAAGGATCTCCATATGTTTACCAACATAGAGTTACCTCCCCTTCATTTTGTTTCACCCATTCACCCCTCAAGTCACATTTGGACCTTACCGAATCAAAGACTGGGCAAGTCCAATTTAAATATGTAGGGGTGAATGAGTTGGGATGTAACTGTAGTGTAACTGAACCAGGTGAATACAGTTGACAAGATAGTGATGTTAGACAGTCCATATTGTGATGGAGGGTCCATGGTTCGAATCCTGCACTGGCAACATTTTATTTCGACTTTCAAAACACCTGCCGATATATATTTTTTTTTCATCTTTATTATTTTTCACAAAAGTTCTGTAGGGCATGGGTTTCTCTTCAGAAAGAAAGAAAGCTACTTTTAGACTGGTAGAAAAGTTGCTATAAGTCATAGCTACAGTTTTTGGCAGTGTTAGGGGTGATCTTTAACCTGTCACATATTTTCTCATACTTGTACTTTAATAGGACACCGTAATTACATGTTGTAAATGTGTGCATGCTGGAAATGAAAATGGAACAAGTCAAATTGTCAGAGGTATTAATTTCAAATTTTGAGAATTTTTCGAGAGGTAGCTTTGGATGATTTTAACAACTAAAAAGAAATTTCAATTTGATGGGCAGCAACACACTAAAGTATAATGTTACCAATTTTTTAAGCCCTTCTCAAAAGAAGTGTTCTATAAAAATCACATGTTGTAATGTTACCCATGACCTTAACTCACTCACCCCTGAAATTTCATAATGAACTATTCCAACCTTTGAATTGGAAGAGTTCAAATGTGTCTTTAGGGGTGAATTAGTTTTATGAAAAGAAGAATCGGTATTTTCATTTCCTGTTGTGCGTGTATATATACGTATGTTAAAGTTTATGTTGCACTGAATGGCTCATGTGTTGTATCATGTACTTGTTCACAATTTTTTTCTTTTGCAAGTGATTGTAAATATCTCTTTATTTTATTTTTATTTTTTTTAACTGTCCTCCCCCCTCCCCCTCCCNACCCCCGAATTATGTTTTTCTTCCTTTACCCTCCCACATACAATTCTTTTTTCTTACTTTTGTTTTGTAACTTTAGCATTTTCCTCATTGGACCTTATCAAGTGTACAAAGAATGTTTGTTTGAAGAAGCTTCCAAAACTATAATAGATGTTGTGCTTGTTAGGTTTAATATGGTTTTGTTGGTTTCATATAGTCAGATGTTCATGCATGTTATCAAAGTTTTAATACTAACTTAAGGATCCCTGTCCCACTACACTCTGGTTTTTTCGTATACAGAGTGACCTCCCCTTAATTTCTTTTTGGAGATAACTGTAGCACAATAGGGTCAGAGCATTTTTTTTTTATTTTTTTTTTTAAATATATAAAGTCAGAGTCTTTCCGTTGTTTCATATAGTCAGATGTTCATTCATGTTATCAAAGTTTTAATACTAACTTAAGGATCCCTGATCCACTACACTCTGGGTTTTTTCGTATACAGAGTGACCTCCCCTTAATTTCTTTTTAGAGATAATTGTAGCACAATAGGGTCAGAGCATTTTTTTTTATTTTTTTTTATAATATATAAAGTCATAGCCTTTCCGTTGACCAGGTAGCTCAATCGGTTAGAGCTAGAGTATAACAACCTGAGGTCAAGGGTTCGAGTCCTGGTCTGGACAAACTTTTTTTTTACACATAGAAAATGTTGTTGAATTAGTATTGTTGAATACGCAAAAGTAATTTTTCATGATACTCTCGCAAGGTGTGATTTTCTTTTCAGAAACGTTTCGTTAAAGCTTTAATCATGCTGGGAAAGTCAGTTTTCACTGTATGGTTACAGTATTTTTGCAGTGGTACAAGGATCCTTAATTAGGATTTTGATTGTAAACCAGTTTTCCTTGTGTTAAGATGCAGCCAAATTCCTGTTTTAAAAAATGGTGTTGTACAAAATTTACCGGTTACAGGTCTGGAGATGAAATATAAATATTCAATAAAAACAAAAATCATCGAAAGAATTCATTTTCTGGCAGTGGCATGTGGATCCTTAATTAGGGTTTTGTTTTTTACTTTCATTTTGGCCTGCCTGCAAATTGTAAAATGATTTCCATTTGTTAGCAATGGTGTTGTACAAAATAAACAAATTTAACCGGTGACAGGTCTGAAGATGAAATATTAAAATTTAATAAAAACATTAGAATCTTCCTCGGAAGAATTCACTATAACATCAAGTGTTCCCAGTGGTCAAGGATCTGTATGGTCAGACCACTGTGGTCAATGGTCTTTATCACAAGTTCTTAGATTTTACTGTTGTTCCCTAACAGAGAACGCGGCCGATCACCAATGTCCAGTACGGGGAGTGCAGACATGGAGCTGGACGAAGAGTTAGCTATGGTTGATGAGGAGAGGTAAGATTTTGCACACCTGTCCAGGTGTTATACATAGTAATTGTTATATGATTATTATTTTAGAATATTTTTTTAAAAAATTGCTCCTTTCTCCTAATTTCTAAATTGATCTGTTAGTCTTTTTAACACATGTACTAAATGTGTAAGTATTCTGTTATTATTGTGTAGGGTTCTCATTTTGCTGCAGTGTAATTTGTTTTAATGTACAAACAACTTCTTCTGAAGAACTGAAAGGCTGGGGGTCATCATATTTTATTTTTTTGTGAAAGAAATTACCTTGACCAATACCCAAGATCACATCATAAAATTTGTCATGTCAAGTAACTTCTTTTGAAGAACCAAAATTTTTTTTAAAAATCTTGCAAAAAAATTAGCAAATGTTCTATTTACTGCAGTATTTTTTTTCCATCATAATTAGAGAAATATATGAATTCATCACAGTTATTAATTTCCTTTTACTAAAAGCCTTTAACACAGTTGTGATGGTCTTCCAAATTACAAATTTGACATTAATTGATGTTATTTTATCACATTATCATACAAAAAATTACACTGCACAAAATTTAAACAGTATACATGATACAGATGAATGGGAGGCTTGTAATTTTGCGTGAATTTTTTCGTAATATCTTGTGTCAGCTAACAGCACTGAATTCTTCCAAACCATTCAGATACATAAATCATGTTTCTGGTCTCATTGATACTTTAAACGTTGAAAGGTAAAAGATGATATTGTCTTGAAATGAGTTGGCAAAGAATCAATAAAAAAAAAACTAAAAAAAAAACAATTGTTAAGTACAAACATGTCGAGGACTTTGGTACCTGAAACATGATTATTTTATTTTTTTTAAATTGTTTGCTTTTCCTGAAATAATATTGTTGTCGGAGGTTGCTAGAAGACTTAAATTTGTTAAAGGTCGAGTTTGTAGAGTCGGTTTATTGTTTAGCTTTGCTTGTAAGGTTGTCCCGCATATTTGTATATTATGTAATCAAGAATGAAAGCTTAAAAATGAATTATTTCATCCGTCCATCGATCCGTCTCCAATCAACTTGTCCGTGTATCCGCCTGTTTGTTCGTAAGCAGAATTATGTCAATATTCTATCCTTTACATAGAACTTTCTAAAATTACAAGTAATAATCTAAAAATACAAGTAATAAGGTCTTGGGCTGTAGTATTTAAATATTAAAACTTACATCTCTGCCACGAGTTCACATATAATCACTTAAAAAATTGCATTCGTAGGTCTATAAACACAATGGGATCAGTGTCATTTTGATGCTTGGTCTCTTGGCTCGCTTAATGTGAAACCACTGTAAGAAACAAGCATTTAGCTGACATTGGGCTGATGTTGGGGTAACGTTTGCTCCGACAAAAAACGTTTATTTCATTACAGCGAAAATAGCAATATCTGATGTCAATTCAGGGGATTATATATAAGGTAGTCAGATGTCAATGGAAATTTTAAGAATCCTGTCCAGTGCTGAACCTAAAACATCTTTTTTTCTTTTTTTCAAATTAATCAACCTTTGAAGAAATGATTTGCTTGAAGTTCGAATCAATGTCAGGAAGTCACAATGCAAAGAAATAAAGAGTATAATTCCAGATGAAAAAATGGCTAAGTAATGACAATAATTTAGCAAAGACATTGGGAATTGGGGTTTTTCAAGAGTTGTCTGTTAATTTTTCAAAATCAGATCAACATTTTACGTGGGGTAAGTGCTGACATGCAGTGCATATCCTGTGTATTACCTCCCCTTAAATTACTTAACATGTCGTTAGTGATGTAATGTCAAGCATGGAAAGGAAACACCGCAAAAATTAAATAAAAAAAATCAACTTCACCTGGCATTGTGTATGAAAGACAGAGGTAATGATTCTTCAGCAAATACCTCATTAGGAAGTGACATCAAATCGGAGTAAAAAAATCAATAGCCAGTGCATTATTACATATGTGATTGCTGCATAATAGTGAAATATTATTTTTGTGGTTGTTAAAATTACTAATAAAAAATCAACAGTTTGGTTTAACTAATTCTGATCACTAATTAAGCATGTAGTAACCCACCTGTAATCAATATAACAACAGAACTGTACACGTTTTAACACTGATGACACGTACCAGTGAGCAGGTTCTCTTTGACTTTTGGTAACTCAATGATTTTGCATGGAGTCTTAACAAAGGTAGTGGTAGGTCTTTATGACCATATTTAGGCATTTGGTTGATGTTAATGAAGCTACATCTGGCCGATGGTCATTGATAGGAGTTTTTAACATAATTGGTAACTGATAGGTGTTTATTTGGTCATTGAAAGGATCGAGTCAAGAACCATATTTGGTCATTCATAGGAGTCAAGAACCATATTTGGTCATTCATAGGAGTTAAGAACCATATTTGTGAATTGATAGGTGTTTATGACCATATTTGGCCATTGATAGGCGTTAAGAACCATATTTAGGTATTGATAGGTATTTATGACCATATTTGGTCATTGTTCAGAGTTTCTGAACTTATTTGGGCATTGATATGAGTTAAGTACCATATTTGGGTATTGATAGGTGTTTATGACCATATTTGGGTATTGGTAGGTGTTTATGACCATATTTGAGCATTGATAGGTGATTATGACCATTTTTGGATATTTTATTTATGACCTTATTGAGAAAAGATTTTTTTTATAACAGTTCAGTATTATTTTCAAGCTTTGTTTCCAAGTATAAATATTGGTAGTGTTCTTCTTCCTAATGGCAATATTTGGGCAATGGCAGCTGACGAAACTCTGTCGATGATATTCTATGTAAAATTGTTAATTGTGTTCTGTTTTGTAGATTGTTGTCTTGTAGACCATCTTCATAAAAATTACATTGTTCTAAATATTATTTAATCTTTGAATAGTTTCTTTAATACTTAAATAATCATTCAGAAGAAGAAAACAACACTTTCGAAACAAACTTCGCCTTTATCCTTGAATAATCAGTTAGGTTCATTTTCAAATTTGTTTTAATAACTTTGCTATCCCATTCAACAAGGACAAAATTTTGAAACCAGTCACCGAAAATAAACTGAATTTTCCATAACATTTTCATCGATGGTTATCTTTAGTATTGCGTAATGGCCGTTATTTTTACTTTGAACACGGTGAGTGTGTACTTTGTCTTGTGAGGCACCACACATTTTTTCTTGATCGATCTGTCATCTCTTTCTTATTCCAGTCAGGATAACCCTTTCACCACTGTAGACCATAATGGACTCATCCATATCAATGCATGGTAGAGTCTACTAAAGTTACATGAGGGATGAAAAGGTTAACTTGCCTGTGTGAAATAAAATTTGCTTCTGTTATCGTGGGTGCATGGATGCATGCTAGTTTCTTTTTTCTTTTCAGTCAGGCATTGTTATATCAATGTCTGAAACAAGGCCTCCAGTCAAGGGCCTTTTCGCCCAGACAACTGAAAATTGTTTAAGCTTTCAATAAGTTTGCAGATTTTCCAAGTGTTTTTGCCTGTTCAGTGTAGGTGATTTTAGTCAATATAGTCTCTAACCCAGGGATTTTTTTGCCAAGTTTTAAAGCCGAAAAAACAGGCTGCTTCTCTCTCGTAGCAAAAAGTGCTTTATTTACCCAAAACATCTTCCTGATATTAATAAAATAATGCTATATTTTCCTAAATCACTTAGGAACAGGCTGTTGTAAGGAAAATTCGGAAGAAAAAACACTGATAACTTGATTGTCATAGATACTTTATAAACCACACTTTTCTGCATGGCATATATATAGGGTGATTTGAAAACTGTCAAATACCACTACATTTACACTTTCCTGTGTTGCGAAAAGGAGTGGTGATCTGAAAACTGTCGGTCCACATTGTGTGACCTTTGAACTTAAAAGGTAACAGCATCAGTGAACAGTGTGAAAGCCTTTTGTGGACGTCTTTGATATCATCAGTTGTGGGAAACTTTAACAAATTGTAGCAGAAATTTCGATTCTAAATTTTTGATTGAACAAGTGAACTAAAAACTTTCCACCAGATAAGAACTTTCGACTAGCTGTAGTGAAATTGACCCTCGCTCGTTGTATAATCATTCACCCCTGAAGACACATTTGAACTCTTCCAATTTAAAGGTCGGAATAGTTCATTATGAAATTTCATGGGTGAATGCGTTAATTCTATGTACCATACTTTCAAGATCAACCTTTATATACAATAAATTATTGCAAAATCTATATATATATTTAATTCCGTCAGATTTCAGGAGGGAGGGATATGTCTGTCAGCACTATTCAATTTTCCTCCGTCCCCTGTCTTGCTGCAGTTGTAATTCTTACAGATTTACCTCCCTTTGTAAGCCCCTGAGTGACTCCTCTACTGTGTGTTTAGGCTTTTGCTGAAACTGTGTAACTGCGTGCTCTCCTGCTGACTCTGTGTGTAACTATAACGGCGCTACTTGAATGTCTTTGCCTCGACTGCAACATAAGCTACTTTTTAATCCTTTGTGTGGTTGATAAGTTGTGTATGTGTTGTAAATTTGCTTGCAGTTGTGAGCCCAAATATCTCCGATCTCGTAGTCTCCACTCGGGGCTCCTAACTCTAGACTCGCCAGACAGGTAGGTTGGTCTCCATGACAACCATGGAGTCCGTAGACATTTTTCGTCATGTATATATATCATTGTATTCTGGTGAATAAGTAGACTAGAGAACTCCCTTACCTTCTTACTAACCACCGCACTCTAAATGGTGGAGGCTCATGAATTTTCATACTAATTTGCATAGAAATTCATTCATAAATTGATTGGCAGCATTTGAATGAATTAATGCTTAATGGAATATATATTCTTACTAATTTGCTTGTAAAATAACAACCAGCTTTTTACCTTTATCAAACTTAATGTCTTTCAAAGAATGTTGAATATTTAGACTAATTTGCATATTAATAAACTAACCAGATGAATTGATACTTCTTTATCATTATTAAACCTTGAAACATTTGAATACTGGAGTTAATTAGCATTACTGTTCCGAGCCGTATTCACCACAACATATACACATAGAATTGGACTCCAACTGTCCTTCTTCCAATCAATCCAATTATCTTTACCATGTAAAACCAAGTTGTCAAAATTTTCGAAAATTTTAGAAAAAAAATCCCACCCCTCCCCCAACCCCCTGCAAAATAAGTGTTAGAATTTAGGTCTGTCCCTAGGCGCACAATTCCATTTCTTAAAGAAGCAATCAGACCTTTATCAAACTTCATGTAGGTCACTGTGACCTATATTTTCTGTTCCACTGAATTTCGTAAGATTTTAGCATTTAGCTCTGTTTCTTTGGTTCAAATTTTTGTTTCATTTTTTTTTTTTTTTTGTTATATATATATATGTTTTACAATTCGAACCAATACAGTTTCTTACGTGAATGTGTTACTATATATAGCATGCTCAATATACACTTACAGTGCTTAAATGACTGATGTCAGCAACGTCAAACACGTTTCAGTATAAAACCCTATGAATGAAAAACAATGATAAAATGTGTTTATGTACATGCACCCTAGTGGAAAATCAACACTTTTAGCTGGCGTCTTTTGAGCTGTTCCATCAGAAGAAATCATCAGATCTTAGAATATAGGAATAGTTTAGCAATTCACTGGTCGAAGATGCGGAATTTTAGGGTCCAAAATCAGGAGTCTCCCTCCTAAATAAGGAGACTTGGCAATTATGCGAAGACCCTGAGCTGGAATGAATTCATGTCAACAAATAAGGACAGTTAGGCCCATACTAGTGGGGAACATGATGGATGTTGGTAACTCAATGATCTTCTAAAGATTGTGTGGGGAAGTAGGAAGCAGGCCAGTGGGTAATATGCTGCTTGTTTAATAAAATACATTTTACGTCCTAAGAGGGGCATAAGATAGATATTTGGTCTTGATAGACATATATATTTTTGCATTGTTGGTTCAAAGCAGTTAAAATCATTAGAAATTAAATTGGATTTCAGTTAAAACAGTTGTTATGAAATTTTTTGAAGTATAATAAAAAAAATAAAAAATAGAAATATTAAGGTAATTTGAATGAAAAATGTCAAGGTAAATAAATAAACGGCTATGAAAATACTGGCAACAAGTAAAATATCAGATCTAACAAAAAAAATGTGTTTTAAATGCAATAACATATTTTTAGTTCCAATTACTTGTATATATGAAAGTTATTTTTACTGAGGATTCATTGCAATTGTAGTCATGCATATATATAGATATTTTTTAATGCAATGCACAAATCGAAAATCTAGGTGAAGTTAAACAGAGATTTTATAAAGTATCTTTATCAAATCATAATTTAAACAATTATAAATTATAGCGTTTTTCTTCACACTTCAATCTCTTCGTGTTTGTTTGCAAACACACATACACACACACACACACAGGATAGGAGATTATTGTTTATAAATATTATTTATATCCTGTTATATTTCTATTTTGTTCTAATGTAATATAAGTGTTTCATGCTTTCATGTTTCTCGCTTAAAGAAACGTTTTGCTCCATCATCCTTATAATGTCTACACTCTCATTACTGCCTTGTCCTGTATACCAATTTTCAGTAAATTATATCCTACAAAAATATGTTTATAAAGATCCCGTGTTATATGGGCTTTTAACGTTGGTATTACTTCTTGAACCGTTATATTTATTGGAGGCACAGTAGTCCAGTGGTAGGACGCCGGGCTCGTGACCAAAGGGTTGCGGGATCGAGTCATGGCACGGCATGGTGTTGTAACTTTAAACAAGATGCTTAACTCACCTTGTTCCAGTCTACTCACCTGTAAATGAGTACGTGGTTGATATGTACGGTAGTCTAGTGGTAGCTAGGACGCAGAGCTCGTGGCCAAAGGGTTGCGGGTTCGAGTCAAGTCACGGCACCCTGGGTATCATTGAACAAGTTACTTTACTCTTCTTGTTCAAGTCTACTCAGCTTTAAATGAGTATGTGGTTGGGCAGTGCTAGAATTGATGAAAGCTAGCTGTGAGCGCCAAAGTGGCAGCACTGGCTGTATGCTCCCCAGGGAGTTGAGAAAGATATTGGTTAGTTGCAAAGGCCCTATATAATAATTTGTGAACCGCTTTGTGACGACCTACAAACTAGGTTGTGATAAAGCGGTATATAAGAACCTCAAATTATCATTATTATTAAATATATACACAAATACAATTACTTGCCGTTGCAATAGTTATACCTGTATCAGTCCTGCATCTTTCAACCTTAACCTGTGCAGGTTTGGAGGAAGAAGATTAACTCATTCACCCCTGAAATTTCATAATTGACTATTCCAACCTTTGAATTGGAGTTCAAGTGTGTCTTCAGGGGTGAATGAGTTAATAGGCCTGCTTTATCCCACTGCTTTATCATATCAGACAACTGATGTGGGGACCCCTACCCAATCGTTTCTTCCTTGTCTTCTGTTTTAGGGGATATTGAAGTAATCAAGAATACATGTGCTTTATCCCACTGCATGTGTATCATAGACAGCGACTATTGTGGGTCCCTCTGCAGAATTTGGGGGTTTTCTTCTGTGTCATCTATGAAGATGACATGGTGGAAGAGACAAAAGTTGTTCTGCTTCCACCCCCACCCCCACCCTTCCATTGCAACACCTGGGATCTTTTATATTTCCTGTCTTTTTTTTCTTCTTTCTTTCTTTCTTTCTTTCTACTTTTTCTTTCTGGTGGTGTCTCCCAAGGCACCCCTCCTTATATGACCCTCACTGTTGTGTCCCCCAAGAACCCCGTCCTAATATGACCCTGGCTGTGGTGTCTCCCAAGGCACCCGTCCTTATATGACCCTGGCTGTTGTGTCTCCCAAGGCACCCGTCCTTATATGACCCTGGCTGTTGTGTCTCCCAAGGCACCCGTCCTTATATGACCCTGGCTGTTGTGTCTCCCAAGGCACCCGTCCTTATATGACCCTGGCTGTTGTGTCTCCCAAGGCACCCGTCCTTATATGACCCTGGCTGTTGTGTCTCCCAAGGCACCCGTCCTTATATGACCCTGGCTGTTGTGTCTCCCAAGGCACCCGTCCTTATATGACCCTGGCTGTTGTGTCTCCCAAGGCACCCGTCCTTATATGACCCTGGCTGTTGTGTCTCCCAAGGCACCCGTCCTTATATGACCCTGGCTGTTGTGTCTCCCAAGGCACCCGTCCTTATATGACCCTGGCTGTTGTGTCTCCCAAGGCACCCGTCCTTATATGACCCTGGCTGTTGTGTCTCCCAAGGCACCCGTCCTTATATGACCCTGGCTGTTGTGTCTCCCAAGGCACCCGTCCTTATATGACCCTGGCTGTTGTGTCTCCCAAGGCACCCATCCTTATATGACCCTGGCTGTTGTGTCTCCCAAGGCACCCATCCTTATATGACCCTGGCTGATGTGTCTCCCAAGGCACCCATCCTTATATGACCCTCACTGTTGTGTCCCCCAAGGACCCCGTCCTAATATGACCCTGGCTGTGGTGTCTCCCAAGGCACCCGTCCTTATATGACCCTGGCTGTTGTGTCTCCCAAGGCACCCGTCCTTATATGACCCTGGCTGTTGTGTCTCCCAAGGCACCCGTCCTTATATGACCCTGGCTGTTGTGTCTCCCAAGGCACCCATCCTTATGTGACCCCGGCTGTTGTGTCTCCCAAGACACCCATCCTTACATAACCCTGGCTGTTGTGTCTCCCAAGGCACCCATCCTTATATGACCCTGACTGTTGGGTCTCGCAAGGCACCCGTCCTTATATGACCCTGGCTGTTGTGTCTCCCAAGGCACCCATCCTTATGTGACCCCGGCTGTTGTGTCTTCCAAGGCACCCATCCTAATATGACCCTGGCTGTTGTGTCTCCCAAGGCACCCATCCTTATATGACCCCGGCTGTTGTGTCTCCCAAGGCACCCATCCTTATATGACCCTGGCTGTTGTGTCTCCCAAGGCACCCGTCCTTATATGACCCTGGCTGTTGTGTCTCCCAAGGCACCCATCCTTATGTGACCCCGGCTGTTGTGTTTCCCAAGGCACCCATCCTTATATGACCCTGGCTGTTGCGAGGATGTTCAGCACAAAACCAACAAACAAGTATTCAGTCTTAATGAGTCAGTCAATTAAATCTACTCCAAACAAAGCTTTAATTACCAAATCCTTATCAACGAAATTTACAATAAACTCTTCCTTCCATCACAAACCAGAAAACTAATTGAAAGTGAATTCAACAATTAAACTCATTCATCCCTAAAGACACATTTGAACTCCTGCATTTCAAAGTTTGGAATAGTTCATTATTAAATTTCAGGGGTGAATGAGTTAATATAGATTGTTTCACAGTTAATATAGATTGTTTTTTAGAAACATTCATTGATTGATATGGATTTCGTAATGTTTGAATTTTCTGGTCCTTTCCATATACATGCCGATTATGGGAAAAATTAGTTTTGAATTTGTTTATATTTATTTTTGTACGTCGGTCTTGGTTACTTTGTATAGTTTGTGTTTCTGACGCTTTGCCAGCTGCCGCGCGGTGTATTGAATGATCACGTTTCTCGTCTAAGCACTTGTTCACCCGTAGTTGTCCGATTGTGAAGCACTCTAGTAGAATCTTTAGAGGTATTGGGTCGTATCGTTTGTAGGACTAATCTTGATGGCTTTCGGAAGCGTGCCGATTCTGACGGCAAATTTCAGCGTAGCGAGTTCCTACGAAAACGGTGAGTATGGTAGACTTAATTATCTATCCCACGAAAAAAGCAACGACCAGATGGCTGCCTGCTCATGTTGTTCTCCTTGCCTTTTTTGTCTGTTATATGTCGCTTCCTGCATCCAGCGTTAATCATGTTAATGTGTTGCTACTCCTCACGAAGTTCTGACCAATAACGGGAAAGTGCATTTACATTGTTATTGTAGCACAATGTTGACTGTCTCCCATCCATGTCCACATATTATCAGCTTTTTTAGCTCAGGAGTTTTCTGGCAATAAAATCGGCAGTAATAATAAGGACAAGGGAAATGGAATCAGCAATTTTCAAAGGGTGAAGCTGAGCACTAAGGAGGGGCAACAAAGAGGAAATGTGTCAAAATCAACTTAAACAAAACTCTTTTTAGTGTTTTAGTGAAACTTGAATAAAATTTCGGAGTAAATTTGAGAAACATGAATTAAATACATATTTCAACATTTTTATTCGAATTCAGTTCAGTTTATTTTATCTAAAACATTTAATTTTTAAAAGCAAATATGAATTTTTTTTGATGTTTTTTTTTTTTTTTTAGAATTAGTGCTTGTAATTAGATATTTTCTTATCAAAAGGGAGAGAACTATTGTGTCAATTTATTTGTTTCATTATTTTTTTTTTTATCAAATTTAAGCAAAGGAGGTAACTCCTGCAACAATTTTCTATTCTGTAACCCAAATATTACGCTATTTCTGATTAAACAAGGTTAGAACTTTACAGTTGGGAAAGGTTTTACATTGTCAGATATTGGTATCAGCAGTAAGTTTGATATGTGTATAGATAGGATTATTTTATCTGGAATGGTTTTCTAGAAAGTGAAGATTAGATAACTAATCAAATGTTCATGTTTCCCCATTTATGCTAATTGCAAAGCTTCCTTTGACAAATGGACTATGCAATTAATTCTGCATTCATAAATCTCTTCAGTTGATAATTACACACCTGGTGTCTGAGGGTCATGAAATATATGCCATGTCAGTGTTCTAATTTGTGTAATACCTAACAACCACTGACCTCATTGTCTGTATCAAAAACATAATTTGTCCCCAACAATGTCATTTTGAATTGTGACTTCGACTTTGAAGGTTAATTTCCATACCTGACACACTGAACCTATATTTTCCATCACAAGTTAAAACTATTTGTACTTAAAAAAGACAGGTGTATTAGCAAGTAGTTTAATTTAACGGAAAAATAATATAGTGTATACGTAAAAACTAGTAAATTAGGAGATCAGTCGTAATAGTGTTTACATTAAAAACTGGTATATTAGCTGTAATAGTGTTTACATAAAAAGACTGGTATATTAGCTGTAATAATGTTTACATAAAAAAATGGTAAATTAGCTGTAATAGTGTTTACATAAAAAAATGGTAAATTAGCTGTAATAGTTTTTACATAAAAAAAATGGTAAATTAGCTGTAATAGTTTTTACATAAAAAGACTGGTATATTAGCTGTAATAATGTTTACATAAAAAAATGGTAAATTAGCTGTAATAGTGTTTACATAAAAAAATGGTAAATTAGCTGTAATAGTTTTTACATAAAAAAAAATGGTATATAAGCTGTAATAATGTTTACATAAAAAAATGGTAAATTAGCTGTAATAGTGTTTACATAAAAAAAAAATTAGTATATTAGCTGTAATAATGTTTACATAAAAAATGGTGTATTAGCTGTAATAATGTTTACATAAAAAATGGTATATTAGCTGTAATAGTTTTTACATAAAAAATTGGTATATTAGCTGTAATAATATTTACACTAAAAGACTGGTATATTAGCCGTAATAGTGTTTACATAAAAAGACTGGTGTATTAGCTGTAATAATGTTTACACTAAAAGACTGATATATTAGCCGTAATAGTGTTTACACAAAAAGACTGGTATATTAGCTGTAAGACTGGTATGTTAGCTGTAAGACTGGTATATTAGCTGTAAGACTGGTATGTTAGGGGATAGGCTTGCATGTATAGGTCTGCTTTGAGCATTACTACGACAACTATTGCATAAAGATTATCTATGACAAATTTGTAATAAAATATATTCCATATATCAATTTATTTGGAATAAATATTTTAAATCAGCTAAAAATCCTTGTATACATTTTAGAAATTGTGGACTTTTTTACATGCAAAATAATTACATGGAATATCACAAGAGTTAAGATTTTTCGAATTACTGTATACTGGGAAACTTTCGCTCAGTCAAATCTTCGCCTTTGGTAACAAAATCCACGTTGGTCTAGTGTTAATTTCACCCTTCACAAGTTATTATACCATATGTTGTATGTTGCCAACTAATATTCGCTGTCATGACAAAGAACTTGGGGCAATACGGGTAATTTTTGACCTCATGAAAAATTGAACATTTCAACTTGAATTTGTTTATCAATTCCTGTTATAAACATCATATTGGTTAATTGCGGCCATCTTTCTTGGTGCAGATGTACGAATGAACACTGGAAGACAATGTTTAAGCATGTCAAATATTAATTTCTTTGATGCATGCCGAGGCTTTCGAACATTGAAGAGGTTTTAATCAATTTGTTCAGAGGTTTTAATCAATTTGCTTCAAAATGGTCGAATTATCTGTGTAAATAGCGCACAACAGACAGTTAACAAGCATTTTACTATGACAACAGACAGTTAACAAGCATTTTACTACGATAATGCGGGTTTATACCTCTCTTTGTTATGCCATATCTCCTATACCAGTTGTCAGATAAATTTGAAATTTCCTTTTTTTTTAATGTACATCATTTATTCCAGATTACGAATATAACAACTAATTCTAAATCCCTGATGGGGCCGGAAATGACCCTTAACGGTCCTAGTCCTTTGTCTTCATTTGGGAGAGCGAAAAAGTTAAACTGCGACTAAAATTTCCCGGTAGTCAGTAACAATACACATATATATATAGCACCATGTTTTTTTTTAATTTTGTCCTCTGTGCATGACTACTAACATTACTTACGTCCACTTAAGGACCCCCGTACCACTGCCAGAAATTGTAACAAAGTATTGGAAACAGATTTTTCCCGCATGACTATAGCTTTGATAAACTATTTCTGGAAAGAAAACCATACCTTATGGGACTTTCATGAGAAAAAGTAAAGTTGAAATAGCCAAAATATAATCGACAATATGAATGTTTTGAGTGTAAAAATAAAAACATTATTGGGGCTGGACCGGGATTCGAACCCCGAACTTCAGATTGTTATACAACGGCACCAACGATTGAGCTACCTGGTCAATGGTAGTTACCTGGCCTAACTCAGCTTCAGTTATAATATCCAAACGGAAGTTAAGGGGAGGTTACTCTATATACAAAAAAAAATAAAGTGCAGTGGGACAGGGATCCTTAATATCTACTTACAGTAATGTTCTATTAATGCCTGTACATACATAATAAAATGTTGTGCTTGTTAATTTTATTACAGCATTGGTAAATGTTAGCTCACATATTTCTACATTGCATCAGTATAATATGTTTCACAGTAAAAACCTGTATAATCCAATCACTTTCTAATTTGGAAACCTTGTTTAAACTTGAAAGTCTGATCCAACACCTATCTAAAAACAATTGCTGTTAGCCAGACTTTAATTGTACCAGAATATGTCCACGAATATTTAGTTCTGGCTTTATTTTCCCTTATTATTCAATAAAAGCCTATTTATTCCGACTGGAAATAGTAAATTTGTATCATGTTTGATTTACACAGGTTTCCCTATTACTTGTGTAATATTGTGTTTACGCTCTTTATTTTTTTATTTTTTTTTTGTAGTTTCACAAATTGTTGTTGGTTAATCTTTAAAAACAAAAGTTTCACCATATGACTGCCTCGATCTTGTTGCAATGCAGTTTAGCAGCTTCTTCGGATAATTCCTCACATTTGTAGAGCGGAGCGGTGCGATGACTTTTTATAAAGATTGCAATTGTCTCTGGTAGTTTTCAAGATCAGTTTGTTGGGTGAAAGTTTTTGCTTTCTGAAATGTCTGCATTTTTCAAGTTGAGAGAATCAATGCAAAAATACCCACGCACAAATCAAATTTAAAGATTTTCTCCCACAACCACTATAGGTTTCCTCACTCATGACTCATTGAATAAACCTGCTAGGAGTTGATAAACATTTCTTGTTACCAGTGGGTAACACCCGGGACGTGATGTCATTGGTCAATCTTTGATTTATGACGTCACGTAAAAATGCTTTTCGACATCATTTTCCATTGTGACGTCATGCTCCATGGCAATTGTTTCCCCCATCGAAAATACACATGATGTGTTTTCCAAGGGCAAAATGTGTTTTTCCAGAAAAATACAAACATTATGGGAGAAACAGGTCCCCAAAATCATAATGATTAGTCATTACATTTCTCTAACTCTCATCAGTTAATTTTCAAATTGTAAAAGACACTCGGTAAACCTTGTGTTTTTATACAGTTTAAAGATTAACTTACTCGAGTTAGATAAACATGATAACCAACCATCACTCGTACGGGGAACCTCTATCTATAGAGTATAGATAGAATATATAAATTTCAAAACTATGACCGACGTGAAAATTTTCACAAAGCGTTCTGTTTAGAGGGTCACACCGCAAACATTTCCACACGTGAAAATTAACTCTTTCACAGTATGTAAGTGATTGGTCATACAGAAATTTTAACACATCCAGAAATCAGTGTGTCCATTTTTTTTTTATTAGTAATGAAGAAAATACAATGTCTGTAAATGATACATTTGAAACTTAAGAGAGGTCCGATAAATTTACTGTGTTTCACCACACCAGTAGCCTAGAGACTAGAAACGAAAATCTACAATGAATCCTGCACATCTGTTGACTAGGGTTAAAACACAATCAAGTTTTTCTGTAAATTTAGTGTAAATTGCACTTACTATTCAAAAAATTTGATAGACTTGGAGCACTTACTCATCAAAGATTTGAATGACCCAAAGCACTAATACTCATCAAAGATTTGAATGACTCTGAGCACTTACTCGTCAAAGATTTGAATGACTCCGAGCACTTACTCGTCAAAGATTTGAATGACTCGGAGCATTTACTCATCAAAGATTTGAATGACTTAGATAAGTTGTATTTTTCGTTCCTTTTTCTTTGGACGTGTATGCGCAATGTTTTGTTTTTCAGTCATTTAAGATTTTGCATTTGTGAGTGACCATTTATAACTTCTTGATCTATTTAAATCAAGTTTCATCCACCAAGAACAACATTCAAGTTAAGTGATTCATCGATGTCCAAAAAAATTGTGGTCAATACTGATTTTGACACTAAATTTATAATTCAATAAGGGAACATTTACATATATCACCTGATGTATATCTATATATGTATATAACCTGGCATCTGTATATAAATACAGTGTATCATCCTTGTATCTTTATATTACTCCAACATCTATTTATATCACTCTGACATCCATAAATATCACCAATGTCTTTATGACATCTTTAGATATTGCCTGACAACTCTATATATTTCTCCGACATCTGTCATATCTTTTAAAATAAGTTTGTCCTGATTGCTGTGAAACATGGTGATTTAAATTTTCAACATAACCCTCTATATAAGCAGCTGCACAAATTAATGATTTAACAAATTATTAATGGCAAATTAATTGGATTAACTGGTGATTAATGGGTTAAGGGATTATTGTGTTAATGAATGTTTAACTGGTTAATGAATGATTAATGGTTTAACAGCATATTAATGGATTAATAGTTTAATTGGAATACCACATCAATGAATTAATCAATTTATTTATTAATGGAGCTACATTTTACTGGTTACAAGGTTCTTATTTATTTAACATGTACAGAAGCTGAAGTATCTTATGTCATATTCAAACTGGTTTGGGCATTTGCCCAGTCCCAACAAAAACATTCTTAGCTTTGGTTAATATGTTTTTCTTAAAATTCGTCATTGCTTTCCATATAAAGGAAATTAAGGTTATGGATTTTGTTTCTATTTCAGGTATTTCTTTAATCCTGGTGTGATAATGTATCAATTTACATTGAAAGGTCATGGGTGAAAGAAAGGTCATGACCTTTCCTATAGGATGATGTCAGACTTTATTATTTCTAAGTGCTTGATAAAAAGTGTGTTTTTGTTACAGAAATGTGTTGTCTAGTAATATGTATTCAGAATTATTCTCAAGCAGTGTAAAAATCAATTTTTGCTGTTTTGTGTATTTATTATTTTACTGTTTCATAGTGATGATAAGTTAAAGGCTCTGTAAGCCTAATTAATGATTGTTGATGTTTACAAGACTAATTGCGGTGTTATAAATACATCAAATAATATTAACATGAAATTCAGTTTGATTCAGAATCTAAAAATCACTGTTCTGTGTTGAACTGTTCTAGTTAACCCTTTCACCACTGTAGACCATAATGGACTCATCCATATCAATGCATGGTAGAGTCTACTAAAGTTACATAGGGGTGAAAGGGTTAAGTTCCTTGCAAACCAGTAAGGATATTAATGAAATGGAAAAAGAGGGGGGCGGGAAGCAAAAAATTGAACTGCAGAGAGAATGCTGTGTTTTATCGCAATATATATATAACCACAGGGATATGATATATATGACATTGATTTCAGGTCTCCGTCCCCTCTCCGGTCACCTTCCCCTAGGTCCTACTACAGGTAACACAGACAAAACCTGTGTAGTCACGGCAACAGCCTTATTTACATATTAGGCCACTCCTTCTTGGGATATTGTCTAGTTTCACAAGCTTCTAACCCCACACTTGTGATCAACATGACCTAGAGAAAACAAAAACCTTAAATTAAGATATAATCTGATCCGTCTGTATCTTCTATTTCATTCTGTTTGTAATGAATTTGTTTTATTTGCGATTGATAAATTAGTTTTAGTCTTTCTGTTTAGTAAATCAGTCTGTTATCATTCAGATCTTACAACATCGTCAGAAGGGTCAACTTCAGTTACAAATGTTGTTTTTCTTTAAACCAGTCAACAAGACATTTATTTATTCAAGAAAATGTAAAAAAGAAAAAAAAAATCCTGTTAGTAAAAAAACTGTCTAATTTGGCCTGTTAGTAAAAAAAACTGTGTAGTTTGACATCCTGTCTAGTCTAGCCTGTATGTTCTCTCCTCTCACAGGGTGTCAGCTTAGACAGGTTTCACTGTAGAAACCAGCAATAGTGTTCTGAGTGAAAAATTACAATAGGGCTAGACCCTGGACTCGAACCCAGGACCCTAGATCATTAAACTGTCACTTCAATCAGGATCCTTGCCCAGTCTCACTTCACTAATACATCAAAAACAAAATTAAGGGGAGGCTACTGTATGTATGAAAAAGTACAGTAGTAATCCTCTAGTCTTTTGCCTGCAGTGGGACAGGAATCCTTAACTCATTCACCCCTGAAATTGAATAATGAACTATTCCAACCTTTGAATTGGAAGAGTTTTCTTCAGGGGTGAAAGAGTTAATGTAGCATTAACTGTTGACAATTACAAAAGAATCAGATTGATCAGTTAACTTATTCACCTCTACATGTTAAAACTAGACTTGCCCAGTCTTTGATTTGGTAAAGTTCAAATGAAACTTTAGGGGTGAAAAAGGGTTAAGCTATGGAGGTCATGTGTATCACTTGTGTATTGTAATTCTATCCAACTCTTGGCTCTTCAAGAAAGGGAGGTAACTGTGTTGTGTTTGCTTTGTGTGTTTTTCGAGTTAGTGACATAAGTAGGCAAGTTTTCGCTGTCTTTATGACCTTGATTGTCACCATAAAAATTATGTCATGAAATTAAAATATTTTCAAAGAATCCATTTTTTTTTTAATTCGAATGCCCAATGTTCCAATGCTTTTTAAAAAAAAAAAGGAATAAATACAAATTTTGGACAATGTATTTCTGGTTAAATCAATCAGCTTGTAGAAACATTTTTATTGAAGGTAGATCAATCGTCAACCTGGAAAAGGCTTTAATAGGCAATGCCTGTGCCTAATCCAATTGTGTTTAAAATACAATAAAATTGATTTGAAATTGAAATCAATCGTCTATCACATAGCAGGTGAATCTTAGTACCTGTATAGTGATACATGTATAGCCAATTTTCAGGTCTTGCAATAGAAGATTTTATATTTCGTGCTTTGCCAATACAAGAAATTGTATTACCATAGAAATTCATTAATTGTTATCCATTAATCTAATCGACGAATGGAAGCGAAAAATTGGTTTATATTATAGGTGTATTGACAGACGAGGCTAGTACCTGTGCCTGGAGTGTATCACGTTACATTGCAATACTTTGGTTTGGTTTGGTTTGTTTGTGTTTTATGTCTTATTAACAGCTATGGTCATTTAAGGACATCCCAGGTTTTGGTGGTGGAGGAAAGCCGGAATTCTCGGAGAAAAACCACCATCCTACCGCCAGTACCTGGCGACTGCCCCACGTAGGTCTCGAACCAGCGACTGAGTGGTGGAGGGCTAGTGGCGGCAGAATGTTGTAGATGCCTTTACCACTTGGCCACCGTGGCCCACATTGCAATACAGAAGGAATCAATGTATTGAGATATGTATGGCAATATAAATTCATAGGGAAAAGGCTTGCTCAATTTAAAAAGAAATTATTGTCAGAATGTTTTGGAACTAAACCACATATCATGAGCGGATCACACATATTTCAGGGCAGGGGCACAGTAGCCATGTTAAGGCATCTGACCATTAGCCCTCCACCTCTCGGTCGTGAGTTCAAGGCCTACGTGGAGCAGTAGCCAGGTACTGGCTGCAGGTCAGTGATTTTTCTTCGCGTGCTCCAGCTTCCCGCCACCACCAAAATTAAACCTGGCACGTTCTTTTTATGACCACAGCTGTTGATAGGACATCACGTAAAACAAAGAAGATTGAATTTAGGATTTCGTTAAATCAACCATCAATTACATGTATGTAGTTTCAACTGATTCCCACTGTTAGTAATAGCCTGTTAGCGGTTATTGGCATATCTGTTAGAATGTGTAATAATTTTCAAAGTTAAAACACCTTGCAGATACATAAATTGAAAAGGCTTCGGACGTTTTTTGCATTCCACAAAAATGTCATTTCTATATTGCAATGTGACATGATATGCCTGCATTAATTGTGATATACCGATTTTCCAATATATTTTGACGGCCCTACTATATCAAGATTAAGATCCAGTATGGATGGAAACATCCTCGAAATTCCAGGAGTTACACTCAATTTCTCTGCACCACTGGAATGTCATGACGAAATTGAAGGCTCTGTACGTGAAACTTCCAGGATGACTAAAGTGCTCTGATTTGATACATTGTTGCTTGCGTGACAGTGTAACAATAAAATTGACTGGCTTTGAAATCAGGCATTGCGACACTGTATTCTTTAAAAGGCAGGTTTCAGCTCGGCGTTAGATCTTCTTTTTTTTTTTTTTTTTAACCTGAAACCAATCAAATAGCTAACTTTGTGCCTTCACGATTTTTCATGACATATTCCAGTGGTATAAAGAATGTGTGTAGCTCCTGAAATTTCGAAGATGAAAAGATGGCATCAACCTTTCTTGAAGACGAGCCTTACTTTGAAGTGTGGTAGCTACTTTTGTGACATCTCTTTGTCTTTCCACGCCAGACATTGGTGTTCCTGTAGTTCGTTTCTGTCCACTCTCCACCTAACCATAACCTTTTGTTTTTTTCGTTGATCACGTCCGCTAATATTAATTTTATACGATGTAGTTTCACTGGCAATGATTAAATATTTTTAAGAAACAGCAGAATTTTTATAATCTGGAATTTTAAAAAATTTGGTCAGTAAAAGTTGTTTCACTCTTGTAATATTAAGAACAGATTCTTCATACGTCATTTGGTTTTAACAGAGTGGTTCACTATCCACTCGATAACAGGCTTCGCTTCTGCTTTAGTTGCTATGACGATTAATATTTTTGTTTCCCCCGAATAGGTCGTAGACGGCTCCTGGAGATGACATATATTTGAAACTTGTTAATAACAATTTAAAATATTGTTTTGGAAAATTAAAGTCTCCATGCAGATTAATGCAATTCCAGTCTTTATAAATATCCCCATTATGTAGTAAGTTATGACAATTACATCCCTATTTGACTGAATGAGGTCATTACCCTTTAAAAAGAAATCCAAATTTTGTTTTCTCCAGATTTTGTAATATCCGGAAGCAGTCCAGTTTGGTTCTGTTCAAAGTTTGACAACTGTTTTAATCTGCTACCAAAATCTTTTCTTTTTTTTAAATGTGTAATTTAGCAAAAAAAATACTGCCATTGAACGTTGTATTGAAACATAGACCAATGCCACTGTTAGGAATCATAAACCAATTAATTGAATTAAGAATTCAACACTAGAATGGGACAAAGAAACCTGCGTGTCTCTGCTGCTATGAGAAAATAATCAAATTAGGAAAAGTATTGTTTAAGGAAATAAATGCCCCCTACTTGTCATTTATCTACGCCTGGCACACTTTTTAGGTCAAAAACGTTTTTCTGTCACAGCACTGACTCACCAACTTCAGTTTAAACTAATGAGCTTTACTGTACAGATGGTGGCGACGCTTTAATATCTAAGTTTGTTTATTTCATATTATTTCCTGAAATGGATGCATCGTCCACGATAAGGAGCCTTTTCCTCCTCTGCCTATCTGCGTATTGATCCCTCCAAACTTTTCCCACCTTTCTGCTTTTCTTTCTTACATTTCCCTTCTTTCTTCTTCTGTCTTTGCTTTTCCTTCTTCCTTCCTATTTTCTTATTATTTTTGTATGATCTTCTTCCTATATTCCTCTACTGAAATTGACATAAATAGTGCCCAGGGTGCTCGTAAAATGGTCTAAAGAGGGTGAGTATTAGGATAACACTACAGAGAATGTGTCGGCTACTGTAAAGGCAATATAACTGTTGTCTGAAGAGGGGGATTATTAGGATAACACTACAGAGAATGTGTCGGCTACTGTAAAGGCAATATAACTGTTGTCTGAAGAGGGGGATTATTAGGATAACACTACAGAGAATGTGTCGGCTACTGTAAAGGGGATATAACTGTTGTCTGAAGAGGGTGATTATTAGGATAACGCTACAGAGAATGTGTCGGCTACTGTAAAGGCGATATAACTGTTGTCTGAAGAGGGGGATTATTAGGATAACACTACAGAGAATGTGTCGGCTACTGTAAAGGCGATATAACTGTTGTCTGAAGAGGGGGATTATTAGGATAACACTACAGAGAATGTGTCGGCTACTGTAAAGGCGATATAACTGTTGTCTGAAGAGGGCGATTATTAGGATAACACTACAGAGAATGTGTCGGCTACTGTAAAGGGGATATAACTGTTGTCTGAAGAGGGTGATTATTAGGATAACACTACAGAGAATGTGTCGGCTACTGTAAAGGCGATATAACTATTGGACACATTAATCATTTATATTAAATATAAAAAAAAGGGGTTTTTTGTCTCTAAAACACCGGGAAACAGTCATGTCTGATTGCAAGACTGTGTAGTGTTAAATATAAAGTGAATATAGTGCTATATTTTGTTACTGGAGTGAGCTTGAATGGAAGCTTCCATGGAAAAGGGATGCTTAAATCATTTTAGTTAGTGTTCTAAAAAGAGTATGGGTGCTTACAAGGGGAGGGGCATTAATTAATTGTTCTTGTCTTTTTTTTTCTCTTCCTTCCTTCCTTTTACCTTGTATCTTTTCCTTTTGTTCTTCTTTCCTTTCTCTCCTGATTTTTTCTCGTTCTTCATGTGTTTCCTCCTTTCTCTCTTCCTCTTTTTGTGTTTCTTATTTTATCTCCTTCATTTTCTCTTCTTTCACCCTCTCATACATGTCATCCATATTAGGACAAACATGCTAATCTCTAACTGAGCTGTCTTCCTTGTAGATAAGAAGTCTGGATCAGTAAAACTCTAAATACTATATAAATTATCATTGTACAGTTGTATGTAATACACTAATATTTTAATTATTTTGGTGAAGGGAAATTAAATAGACTTTAGTTTAGTTAAAACAAGCCCTTGAAACTTGTTTTCTGTCGATTTTGTGTTATTTACCTGCTGTTTCACCCATTGTTTTTTTCAATGTTCATTTCAGCGTTAATTTCAATTGTCATTGTTTATTTCGTTGTTTATTACAATGTTTATTTCATGGCTAAATGAACTACCTGATCAACAATTTCAATATCCTCTTTAATTTGATTTACAGCACATATTAATGAACAGAATTACTGAAATTTATACATATTATATTAATTATGCTAATTATATTTAAATGTGTAACTTTATTTATTTTGTATACTTGTATTTATGCATGAAAATTCACACAGTGTATATTCAACAACTAAATATCAAGAAAATTATTTCTCTTTACAGATTTGTTTAATCAGAATTTTATTATTTTATTTAATTGATAAACCAAGATTTTTCACATTTTATTGTTAACACATTCCATAATTTGCTTTTAAAATCTTTTTTTCCTGAAATCCCCCATGTCCCTGATAACTTGAATTGGCTAGAGAGATGCTATCCTTTTCAGTATGGAGTTTGGGGGACTGTCCGCTAGTTCTAGTATGACCAACCTTTCTCCTGACATCAGCGAAACAGAACACAGCTCGGCAGACAGCATGGGACGGGAGTTTGGATTCTACCTGCTAAGGAAAGACTCGGAAAGACGGATAACTCTAGTCCATATCCTTGATTTAGACACGGATAAGGTGAATTTATAATTTTGTCATGAATTTATCTTTGGGTTCTTTGGTGTTTTTCTGCTTTATCCTATAAACCTTTGTTTTCTCAATTTACAGAATCGCCCCAAGGACCTCTTCCCCCCCCCCCTCCCCCTAATTAACACTTAAATTTTGTTTTTTAAGTCAACCATGCAAGCTATTTGAAATGTCCCTGTAATGAGCTATGACTTTTGCATAGGACCATAACACATCAGTCACTTAAATTATTTAGACAGAAGATTTTAATCAGAGGAAGCAAAGGGTGTAAAATCTGGACAAATGAAAATTAGAAAAAAAAATGGAAAGATCTGGAATGGCAATAAGATATCAGTTTAAGTTTCTTCTCTATCTCAAATCACATGGCTTAGAATAAAAACCCTTGTTCTGAAGGGCATTCTACACTAGTTGCCTCATACGATCATGCAGTGTAATACAGTAGGCCATTTCCTTTTGATCTGGGGAACGGGAAGTGGTTTAAGACATGATAATTATTTCAGTGAGATTTTACATCTCTCCATAAGAAATGCAAAGAAGACAATGTTGTTTTCAAACATACACACACAAAAGTGTATTATAATTTTGTATTTATATTTTAAAAATTAATAAATCAAGATGAAATGATGCCTTCTTTTTTGATAGATCTGCAACACCTGGTTAGACCTTCTACATAAAGATGCGACAATATCCAATCCTAAAATCACTGTGGTGAGTACAAAATCATATTCCAGTAGAAATTCTCAAAGTTCTTCAGTAGAATCTAGTGAAGAACATTGAGAATGGATAGCTCTAATGGTGACAAAAGAAATTAAAGCTACTTTTCTTGAAAAAACATTTATTAAAAAATATTGCACAAAACAAATAGGGGAAATGAAATAATGCACTGCATGTTTAGTGATATTTTTTCTAATACATCCTATATTTCTGGGAATGATTGACAGATAGGTGAGTTCAGCCCCTGTTTTTGTGCATTCTAGTGAGATAAAATTGTTAGAGTCAGGGTAAAAACTAGGGTCGGTCAGGGAACCAGAAACTTAACATATACTGGGGGTCATTTGTTTGACCTAGTGAATTTATCCTATTGCTTCTAGAAGATATGGTAGTCTAGTGGTTGGATGCAGGGCTCGTGACTGAAGGGTTGCGGGTTCAAGTCACGACACGGCACTGTGTAGTAGTATCTTTGAACAAAATACTTTACTCGGCTTGTTCCAGTCTACTCAACTGTAAATGAGTATGCGGTTGGGCAGTGCTAGAATTGTTGAATGCTAGCCGTGAGCGCCGAAATGGCAGCACCGGCTGTATGCTCCCCAGGAAGTTGAGAAAGATATTGGCTGGCTGCAAAGGCCGATAACCACGGATAATAATATGTGAACTGCATTGAGACAACCTACGAACTAGGTTGTGATAAAGCGGTATATAAGAACCTCAAATTATTAATTTCAACCATTCCACTTTTTTTGTATCTATATTGTGAAAACATCTATTTTCATGGGGTATTTATTCTTGTTGATTTTGTGGATACTTTTTGATTCACAAATTAATATGTTCTGCAAAAACAAATTGGTGACCAGTGAATTGGCGAAATATCTCTTGTTATATATGTTTGTTCTTTGTAAAATTTAATTCTTTGAAACCACTTTCTCATGATTTCCTGTCCCTATAAAATGACAATTGTTTGAAAAAGCCATGAAATTTAAGCCAAAAAAAATACAGCACTAATACAGTCACATTCTGAAATACATTGATTGTACACATTCACATTCACACCAAAAGAGCTCAAATGATTACAGGTTTGTAGCAAAAAACTGTGTTCCTTTTAACCCGTTCTCACCTAAAGTCACATTTGAACCTTACCAAATCAAAGACTGGGCAGGTCCAGTTTAAAACTGAAGGGGTGAATGAGTTGATACACATGTGATTTGTCAGGAGATGTGATACATGGCAAACTGTGACAAAGTATGTTTAGATTACGTAGGCTTATTAACTCATTCACCCCTAAAATTTAATTATGAACTATTCCAACCTTTGAATTGGAAGAGTTCAAATGTTTCTACAGGGGTAAATGTGTTAACACAGAAATATTTTCAGTGGAATCAGTTTGAATGTCTGTTGAACACGAGTTTTATAACGTTCAATAGAATCCATGTAACGAATCACAAAGCCGTTAAATATCCTTTTTCATCAAGATTTTAAGCCAGTCCATTTATTGTTTCCCTCTCTCAGGAGCACCTGCGGCCATTGCTATGTGGGCTACGCACATACATACAGGACCAGAACGCTAATGCTATCAGTGAAACACTTGGTAAGTAATAATACTGTTTGAAGTGTGGTATAAAACTGTCAGGATTAAGGATACAGTCAAATTCCACAAATCAAACTTCGAAGATTCAAACTTTTGGCCAGTATCCCTTGGATTTTATGTAGGACGGGTTGTCAACAAATATACATGATTTATTTAATTGTTAGTATCCAAAACATAAACAGAAAATGATTGAATAATAATTAAAAAATATTTGTTTCACAAACTTAATTGGAGTTATCTTCCCTCCACTATTTATTTGGATTGGTATGACAGAATATATGTAATGTTTGTAATAAGTTTGGAAAGGACTTAAATAGGCTTAGCCTGATGTCCAATCCAGTTTAAATACATATATAAAGTCAATAAAATCTGTTGAAATAAAATGAAGATTCAAACTTCTTGATGTGTCGAACTTACAGCAAAGTCCAGAATTTTCCCTTCTGTAACACTAATATTCTTTTTCACCAATCAAACTTTTATGAGTCGGATTTCTTGCTGTTTTGAAGTAAAATCTAGGCACATTCGTAATGAACTAGAGAGTTACAACTTATAAATCGAAGTGAAATGTTCACCTGTACTAAAACAGTAAAATGTCCCTTGGTTAATTTAACAGAACAGGCTCCTGAAATTTAACTGATTAAGAAATTTTGAATTTAATAAGACATCTAATATTTATGTTTATAATAAAAAAAATCACATTCTGTCTTATCTACAGGATCTCGATATTAAAAAATTCGTGAGTCGAAGTCCCGTTGTTTCAAATTTTTCCAGATGGTCCTGAAAAGTTTGAAACATCAAAGTTTGACTGTATTTCATTCAATTTATTATCCCTCAGCCATATTTTATTGGGGCATATAATGTTACCACCTTGGTTCAGTCTGGAAACATTGGAAGAATCCAATATTTAGGCTGTAAAGGGTGGTGGAAGAATCCGATATTTTGGCTGTAAAGGGTGGTGGAAGAATCCAATATTTTGGCTGTAAAGGGTGGTGGAAGAATCCAATATTTTGACAGTAAATGGTGATGGAAGAATCCAATATTTTGACAGTAAAGGATGATGGAAGAATCCAATATTTTGACAGGAAATGGTGATGGAAGAATCCAATATTTTGACAGTAAAGGGTGATGGAAGAATTCAATATTTTGACAGTAAATGGTTATGGAACAATTCAATATTTTGACAGTAAAAGATGGTAAAACAATCTAATATTTTGTAGCACACTGTATTAGACTACTAATCCAAATATACTAAATAACATAACATAACATTACAAAATGATTTTAATGTTTTGCTATGTACCTAATATTTTATTGACTATGTACAGACAAGCTGAAGGTCCTGGTAGACTTTGATGTCACCGCCATTATGGAGATTAAACTCGCTCTCTACGTCTTCCACGAGGCTGTAAGTGTATTTTTATATTTCTTTTCTTATCTTTCAGGATATAGAAATTATTTATTTAACATGTATTTAAGAAAACCACTGTATGATATTCTATGTATGATTTACCATCTTAACCAGTGTCATTGATGATTTTGAAGCCAACATGAAGTCATATTTTACCTAGAAATGTGAGTGTTGTACCTGGAGGCACGGTAGTCTAGTGGTAGGATGCTTGGCTCATGACCGAAGGGTTGCGGGTTCGTGTCACGGCACCGCTCTGTGTTGTATCTTTGAGTAAGATACTTTACTCCACTTGTTCCAATCTACTCATCTGTAAATGAGTATGTGGTTGGGCAGAGCTAGAATTGTTGAATGCTAGCTGTTAACGCCGAAATGGCAGCTCCGGCAGCTCCGGCTGTATGCTCCCCATAGAGTTGAGAAAGGTATTGGCTGGTTGCAAACGCCCTATAACCATGGATAATAATTTGTGAACCGCTTTGAGACGACCTACGAACTAGGTTGTGATTAAAGCAGTATACAAGAACCTTGAATTATTGTATATTACAGTAAATAAAATTATTACAGCAATTTTGGTTGAATTTTTTAAGATGAACATTTTGATTGAGTCCAAATTACTAAGAGATATAGGGGGTTCTCAAATATTTGACAAGTTCTATAGGGAAAATAGGAGTCCAGGGGCCATATTCATAAAACCGTTCTCATGCTCAAGCATGGGTTTTGTGCTCAAGCCTAATTTCTTGTTCTGTTTAAAAATAATAAAAACAATCTTATTTTATCAATAATTTGGATAATGTTTGGAGAGGCTTAAATTGAGACGAATGATATGATTTAGAAAAGTGAGTTACCAGAATGTCGCTTTGAGCACAGAATCCATGCTTGAGCATGAGAACGGTTTCATGAATACGGGCCCCGGACTAAAATATCTGAGTCCTAAATATCATTGCTATTAGACTTCGGTATACCTGTATTTATTTGATGTTTTAGGTTGGTAAATGTCTAAAATGCCACAATATACAGCCCCATTGGATGTTTGCGCTCGACAACCTCCTACGCAGCGCCGTTCAACGAGCCATCACCATTTTATCTCCAGGTAGGTCTAAGGTCTTTCTTTGACCGCTCCAGGTAAAGTATAATAAAAATTGTTCTTTTATCAGTCCAGATAAGACACTGATTTTCACAGACACCCTTACTTGATCGCTTAAGTTAAGGTCGTGGTTCATCCTTAACAATGTAAGTAGGATCAAAATCCTTCTTTTACCTCTTGTTGTAAGACGATGATCATTCCTTCACCTCTCCAGGTAAAAGTGTATCAAGGTAATGACCATGATTTTTTTGACCACTTTTTAAGGGCAAAATGTAGTTCTTTTTTACCACTCAAAGTAAAACCAGAGTCAATTCTTGGTCCTTTTTGATGTGAGAAAATTTGTCATTTCTGGACCTCTCCAGGATATATCTTGATTCCATCCTTGACTTCTCCAGACAATATCCTAAACCCTCCTTGACCTCCCTAGACAATATCCTAAACCCTCCTTGACCTCCCAAGACAATATCCTAATCCCTCCTTGACCTCTCTAGACAATATCCTAATCCCTACTTGACCTCCCCAGACAATATCCTAATCCCTCCTTGACTTCCCCAGACAATATCCTAATCCCTCCTTGACCTCTCTAGACAATATCCTTATCCCTCCTTGACCTCCCAAGACAATATCCTAATCCCTCCTTGACCTCTCTAGACAATATCCTATTCCAAACGTGACCTACTCAGTATCCTAATCCCTCCTTCACCTCCCTAGACAATACCCTAATCCTAACTTGACCTCCCCAGACAATATCCTAATCCCTCCTTGCCCTCTCTAGACAATATCCTTATCCCTCCTTGACCTCCCCAGACAATATCCTAATCCCTCCTTGACTTCCCCAGACAATATCCTTATCCCTCCTTGACCTCTCTAGACAATATCCTATTCCAAACGTGACCTACTCAGTATCCTAATCCCTCCTTCACCTCCCTAGACAATATCCTAATCCTAACTTGACCTCCCCAGACAATATCCTAATCCCTTTTTCACCTCCATAGACAATATTCTAATCCTAACTTGACCTATCTAGACAATATCCTAATCCCTTTTTCACCACCATAGACAATATCCCTATCCTTCTTTGACCTCTAGACAATATAATAATCCTAACTTGACCTCCCCAGACAATATCCTAATTCCTCCTTGACCCCTCCAGGATATATCTTGATTCCATCCTTGACCTCTCCAGACAATATCTTAATCCCTCCTTGACCTCTCAAGACAATATCTTTATCCCTCCTTGACCTCTCCAGACAATATCTTAATCCCTCTCAGACCTCCTACGTGACCTCTCCATTCAAGAGACAAGATCCAAAGACCTTATTTTACGTTTGTAAGTAACATCATTGTCTTCTTTGGACCTCTAGGTACAAACACTGCCCATTGTCCAGTACCTGTCAAGTTTCCATTTCCATTATTGCAAATTTTAATACTGATGTAATTTTAAAAATGATTAAGTTTGATCTATAAGGAATATATACCCCCCGCAATGAACGAAGGTAGGGGGGGGGGGGGTCCTGGAATCACTCTGTCTGTCTGTCCGTCCGTCCGTCCATGTGTCCATTCATTCATCTGCTCTACAGACAGCTTCCGAGGTTGTGGGGTCAGAGGTCATAGGTCACAAATGAATTACGTTACTGAAATAGCTATTTATCTTGGAATCAGTAGGTATTTTGTATACCCATATACATTAGAGTATCGTAGCCAATTATGCAGGCTATATTGTAACAATTTTCCAAGGTCATAGGTCACAGGTCACAGATACATTATGTTACTGAAATGGCTAATTATCGCAGAAATGAAGCATTGATGCAAGCCAAGGGGGTGTCGCCCATAGGCGACAGTTAAAGTTTCAGTTTGTCAAGTTCAGTTTCGTCCCTAGGGAAGAAGTACCTCTCCTAAATAACAAATGTTGAACAAATTTAATTTTCAAACTGATAATAAACAGAAATTATCAGAATATCTGTTTCTTGCATGTTAATCTGTCTCTTAAGACTTTAAAGAATCGTCTGCAGGAATTATTTGCCAAAGTATCGTTCCTGTATCCATAATGCCAGTATTCTCTAGGGAAGGTGTGTATTACTCTCTACTTGCAGAGCTAGGTGCCAGTCTATCGGTTGGCAGTAAGGAAGATGAAATAGACACATCCGGTGTTCCGTCCACAAATTCCAACAAGTCTGCCCTTGTGTACCGACCAAGTCCCGAAACCGCTGAGCTCCGCAACCAGCTGGACAATATTGAAGAGGATAACCTGAGGTTTGTACTGAAATTTATTTATACTGTCTTAAATAAATATACAGTTAAACCCCACTTACTCCAACTTGCATTTCTGGAATACCCCCTGTTCCTCGAAAAGTTGGCTTGGTCCTGAATGCGTTCTCATATATTCTTTGATGTCTGAATTGCAAATATGTTACGTATACAGTTTCTTTATTTTATTTCTTTTCTTAATACCGATGGAAATATTGTCATTGTGGAGCAATTTTATGTCTTATTAAATGTTGTCAACTTTATGAAACTTCTGTTTGACTTCTATCATCTACTATCTGCGATATTTGAAGTGCTCTCACTGTCCGTCATCCCACCTGATCAAAACATGACGATGTCTGACGAACTTTAAATTTGTGGAATAACATGTAATCCACACACTTTTGATCTGCAATCCAACAAGTCCGAGTTAGCGGGGTTTTACTGTATAGTATACTGGGAAAGTGCACAAAGTGCTAGTTGAGCTTATGGTATGGTGCATTGTCCGTCGTCCGTCAACTTCTTCTCAAGAACTGGAGGTCCTAGAGTCATGATATTTGGCCAGTAGATACCTGTGACCGAGCGATATAAAGCTTTGTCAAATAAATGACCTTGACCTTCTTTCAAGGTCACAGGGCTCATATATGTAAAAACCTTTAAACAACTTCTTCTGAATAACTAGAAAGCCCAGAGTGATAATACTTGGCATGTAGGTACCTGGCCTGAAGTGATATATACTTTCCTCAAATAAATTACCTTGACCTACTTTCAAAATCACAAGGGTCAAATGTGTTAAAACATTTAAGCAACTTCTGAATAACCAAGAGGCCTAGAGCAATGAGATTTGCCTAATAGGTGCCTGGGATGGAGTGCTATAAATTTCCTCAAATAAATGACCTTGACCTACTTTCAAGGCCAAAGGGTTCAAATGTATAAAAAAAAATCTTTAAAACTACTTCTTCATTACCAGGAGGCTCTGGGTGATGATATTTGATTGGTAGCATGCTGGGATAGATTAGTATAAAGTTTTATTTAGTTTTAGGAACATTCTTAAGCCAAGGAGACTCAATATATGATATTTGCAAAATTACTTTTATTGAAAACATTTTCCCATGAATATCCAGTTGAGCAATACAGGCCCTCTTGGCGTCTTGTATTTATATATCAAATGTAGGTCACTGTGACCTATAATTTCCTCTGTGATGTTGAAGACATAATTTATTTTCAGATTACTGCATGAATTAGTTGATGTCAGCCGTTCCTATGGCAACCTACTCCAAAAGTCAATAGAGGAGAAGAAACTCCATATAGACCATGTTAAGTAAGAATTTTTGTCCTTTTTTACCAGGGCTTGAAATTTCCATGAACTGTTTAGTATAAGGGTAAATATTAAACGAGATTAAAAGTTTTCAATTCATAAAATGTGTATAAAAGACATAAACATTTAAATTTACAGAAAAATAGATATATAAAAGTGCCTGATAAAGAGATGGAGTCAAACTTTGTGTCAAAATTACACATAAAAGCTCAAGTATCATGGATTTTATCTGTTGTTGCTATTTGCAGGATATTTGGTAGCCTCAGTCATCCAAATATCACCATGCCATCAACTCACGGAAAACGAGGTAAGATTTCATGTGCAACAATAACAAGGTCATTTAAGGTTGCTTGCTGCCTAGTTTGTTTGGAGTTATTTCCCCCTTAACGTTTGTGATCAGTATAAGAGAAAAACATTTTTTGCTGAAGTTTTGTCAATGTATTTCTTTATGCCACTTTTAAATAAAGTGTCTGTGATTCTTTTAAACCTTTTGAATTTGTCATCAATTTTTTGTGTACCTTTCATATGTGTCATCAATTCTTGTCTACCTGTTAAATTTGTCATTAATTCTTGAGTACCTTGCAATGTGTCATAAGTTCTTGTGTTCCTTTCAAATGTGTCATTTAGTCTCCTGTACTTTATTAATGCATCATCAGTTATTTTACCAAGTCCGATTCACCAATTCTTGACACACTTTACTTGTTTTTCAGACACTACCAGGGTTTAAAGCTGTGAAATTCTGTGGTCTTCACCTTTGTTTTCTTTTACAGTTCCAGAAATCCATGAACCCCCAGATGAGTCCCTGGTGGCCTGGATGAGGGAGAAAAAATTAGATGAGGAATCAATTCATAAGGTAGGTCATGATATTACTGTGATAAAAATCTGATTGAATAATTGTGACCTGGCCACCGATCCCTGATATATTACTCAATTGATATATTACCTGTACATGTGCCAAAACAAAAATATTTGACCAGGTGGTCGATCAAACTATCAATCCGTAATTGCTGTTTCAATCTACCCTCCGCATTCTGATACATTACAATTGAACTTCCGTCAATACTCCCGCTCATCACTGCTTTTCGGCCTGCAAACTTATTGTCTCTGCTTTGCGATTGAACTTGACAATAAATTATTAACCCTTTCACCACTGTAGACCATAATGGACTCATCCCAATAAATGCATGGATGAGTCCACTAAAGTTACCTATGGGTAAAGGGTTAATACGTAAGTAAAGATAAGAAAGATATATGTACCGTTATTCATCTCCAGATTTGCGAATATATGGTAATAGGCCATCGCTGTTCCGTATCAACAACTTGACTGTTTGCCGTGATTTTACCTGATCTCGACACTGATAGTTCGAACCAATCTTTATTTTAGCAGTTATAATTTCGTGTAATTCGAACAGGTTTGACAATATTTATTTAATTTTGTTTGATCTGACCGGAGGTTTACTGAAACAATGTTTGGCAACATAAGGGTACTCACAGACACTGCTCATAACCTAACCTAGAATTTTTATGTCTCGACGAAGTGGCGTAGGCACAGCCGAAAACTTGCATGCATTATTTATAGTGTCCATATATGGCAAATAATATGGACAGGGTATATGATATAGGGCTGTATGAACTGTGTGAAAGCGCCTGTGGCGTATGTGATCGTAACTCCGGTGGAGCCCTCGACGGAACAGACCTGTGCCGAAGGTCAATTCTAGTTCATGTTGAGTTTGCGGGTTTAGGTGACATTATAATTGCTGTATTTGAAGGTTAATTATCTACTTTTAACTTCCAGGTGACAGCAGAACAGTATTCCTTAGAAGATATATTAGAAATTGTCAATTATGACGATTTAAAGCAACTTAATTTACGGTAAGTCTGAACAGTGCCCAGCCTCGGTTAGCCTTGAGATCAAGGACATTTGACAGTAATAGAATCACAGGGACATGTTACATGCAGTATAGCAGAACATACTGTAAACATACATATTTTGGTGGTGATGTTATTTTAGCATTTTTTGTGCTATGATTTTTGCGCTAAATTGTGGGTGAATGTGCCAATTGAACTTCCTGTATATTGTTCTAATAAGCATAGTTTCGGGGGGTGTCAATTCGTCAGTGCACAAATTGTTTAAACTTGATAATGTACTAAACTATGCCTGTTTACAGTATTCAGGGAAAATACTTGAAGCTTAGAGCAATGGTTCGTTTTCAGGATTTTTGTATGTATATGCAAATATTTTACTTACGTTTGTAATTCTGAGCAGTGTAATCTCCCAAATGAAAATTTCAAAAAGTTTGCAAGCATGAATATATATATTGGTTGGTATAATATACATATTTCTAAAATGACCGTATTTTACGAATGATTTTGGTATGTTTTTTATTTGTTATATTCTGATTTCATTACAGGGGCGGTATGGTGTGTCGTCTCTGGAAAGCTATAACCAAATGGAGATCAAAACCTTAAATATAACCAAGGGAGACATATTGTATTTACCTGGTTACCAAAGTTTTACCTGTTTGACTGCATGTGCTTTCCTCTCTGTGTCACACAAATGCTTGCACAGTTGTCAGTGTCCTCAGAAACCTTGTAGTACATAATAGTGTGCAGCATAGCTGTCAAACATTTCCATGACTGTGATATTTACCTTGAATTGGAATAGCATTGTCCCTATATTCCACAATGGTATAGGCTAAAGTTTGTACTTGAGACAGATGATTTGAAATGGAGGTAAGATGGCCGTGTTCAGATTTCCTGCAATGAACATTTAAATTGAAATTCATGGTTGCTGTGTGTTTCCATCTGTCAACCTAGAATAGATATATTGGACTTTCACTATCCAACGCATTATTTAGTCACAAAATATTCATTCGTGTTTAATTTTGTAGCTAAAGCGGCTTGCTACAATTTCGAACAGTATGAAAAATGTCACGAATTAACAAAATTGTCCAGCAAATGGATTTTTAGTTTTTTTAAATTCAAACTAATATGAAATATATATTTTTTAATATTAGAGAGCTGAGTTAAAAATTTAAAACGCCTGAGTGATCTCTGAATTTTTCACGTTAATTGATCTGATGCTTGTGTCATTGTAGTGAATATTCCGTCTTTGCGTATTGCAGAGTTATCTTCTCTTGAGAGCAGGTATTAATTGTTACGTCATTGGTTCGTGTGAGAAAATTACGTCGTTTTCTCAAAAATTGATGACGTTACTCTCACAAACAAATGATGTAACAATCAATACCTGCTCTCAAGAGAAGATAACTCTGCAATACGCAAAGACGGAANTATTGAATGCTGGCCGAGATTTCAGTTAAATATTCCGTGCTGTGGAGCGAAAAGAATCAGACTTGTGACGGACAATCTTCATAATTACATATTGTGGACTGATCATCTTCGTTCTAAATCTTCACGTAAAGAAAGGATTATACAACCCACATGCCAATTTATTTGTCATGATATAAAATTGAATCATTATTACAATCATTTGTTTATAACTTTATGTAGAATAATCAGTTACTTTGTTCTAGTCATGAAAACAAAAACCAAATACTTACCACTGCATTTAAAATTACCAGTGAGAAGCCGGGGAATGTGTCCTCAAAATCTAGATGAAATATGTATTGTATACTTGATAATTTTTGTGAAAGATTTCGTTTTGAAAAATTAGTGAATGCTTCTTCACATTCAGCAAATTTCAGTTCTTTGCTCATTTCAGACTTTTTGAATGAAATAGAGAAAATATTTCATGGAGAAGGATGATGAAATATAAAAAAAAAAATATGAGTGGAAATGGATATAGTTTATTGATAAGTGAAGAAACCATTAATGACAAACATCCCTGAAAATCCATACACATTTTCTGTACTTGACATTTTATTCATGAAATAACATCTTCTTAATAAAATTAGAGATAAGAAATGATAGATACACGTATACCTTATTAACTCATTCACCCCTGAAATTTGATAATATGCTATTCCAGCCCTAGAATTGGAAGAGTTCAAATGTGTCTTCAGGGGCGAATGATTAATATTTCCAGGTCTATGAAGTCTGTTTGAAGTAGATGGCCTTTGACTTAATGCCGAGGATGGGCTTATTTCTGGTAAAAAAGGTATTTTTTTGCCTTGTATGCAGATGTTTTATGTAGTCAACTTGCAAGATATGTGTGGGTGCAAGTTTTTAAAGGCAGTGTTTATTAAGTTCAATTTATTTCCGTAAATATGACAGTCAGAATAATTCATTAAATATTCAGAGATTTTTCCCATGTATTTTACAATCTAGACAGAATCTTCAATAATGAGTACTTGTTAATTTAAAAGTTTTTATTTTAAACAGTGTCTGTGATATTTTACAATAATTACGAGACTGTGTTATACCCATGAAATGCCCATTGATTTTTGTCTTTAAAATTAAATCGACTCAGGAAGTTTTATTACATGGACTTCATATTCTTGTCTAAACATCCCTGGGATCTCAGTAGTCGGTCGGTTTGTAGGGTGTTCCAGATTGCAGAGTGTTCAAGATTGTAGAGTGTTCCAGATTGTGGAATCTGTTAACCATTGTCATTATGAAAACCAAATTATTTGCCCGGATTAAACGGTAAACTAAGAAAAATGAATGTTTACCATGTACTCTTACTGTTATGCAGTTTTTCAAGAAGTAATGTGTGCGACACATTGTACAAGCTCAGTTAAAACAGTATGGAAAGAAGAAAACCGAATATTTTTTATTGAAAATGCAAGAAAATTGAAACGTTATAGATTACATGTTTACCAACTGTTTTTAATGATTTTGGTATCAATGGATGTTTCATTGTAATGAGTTTTGTATCAATGGATGTTTCATTTTAATGAATTTTGTATCAATGGATGTTTCATTTTAATGAGTTTTGTATCAATGGATGTTTCATTCTAATGAATTTTGTATCAATGGATGTTTCATTCTAATGAATTTGCTTCTGCATTGTTCTGTTGAGTTTATGTGCCATTAACGTACAATTATATTTGTTTTATTGATTTCTTACTTTCAAACAACAACTGGTACTAGTTAATGTTTCTGTGTGTTTTTAAGTGCTGACATTTATATTTCTTCATATACTGTTTAACATTTTTTTTTTTTTAAAACAAGAATGTGACCTTTTAAATCTAGAATTCAGTGAAATTTTACTTTACATTTCTTGTTTTAAAAAAGAATGGACGAGGTCAATATCTCTATAAATATTGAAGATTCTGTATTCTGATTTTAGTACAGATTTCCTACGCACTTTTTATCAAGAAGGGATGCCCAGGATAGCATTTGTTTGTTAATAATTAAGGCTGCTGCAAAAGAAAATTTGGACTCTTGTCTATTCCAAATATTATTTGATAAAGTAATTATTGCAGTAATATGTTATTTTCAAAATTGTTTTATGTGCATTGTTTTATTTCTATTACAGTACTATATCCATTTCCCACAAAGAACGGAATAGGGTGGGGTGGGGTTTTTTTGTGGGGGAGGGCAGTTCCATCAAGCACTAAACACAGGACAAAATTGACCAAATATTTGAACTCCTCTAATTCATACAAATTTCAACTCATTACCATGGCAACCCCCATGTGTACAAAGTCAAAGAAAAGTGTTGATAATAGTTTGGAGGCCATATTCAAAATAAAACAAACAGTAACAGTAAAAGTCCAATAAAAGGTAAAAAAAAAAAATGATGGATTTGTGGGTCAAGAAGTACCCAGGGTGGTCCCAGTGTGGTCCCAGGGTGTCACAGTGGATAGCGCACCGACCTTACACCAAGCTGGCCAGGGTCAGATTCCCTGTTCGGATGCGAAAAGATGTTGTCCGGTCACCTGCCTGTCCATGTGGTATTTTCTCTGCACTCTAGTTTCCTCTGCACACTTCAATCCTGTTGCAATAACTTGTTTCACATTTTTATATATTTAAACGCCCAGACGAACCATTGCCCTTCGTTAAATATGATATGTAGATAAACAGAAAGAGTTTGACTATAAACAGTGTTTTCCGATATTTTAAACAAAGAGAATATGTTCCGTTGAATTTCCAACACCACTTTACTGAAGGACTAGAAAGTCATTGTAAACAGTCATACCTATATGCTATTAAATATTCTGCCTTTTTTTGGGGGGGGGGGCAATAAGTTGACAAATTGAAAAAAGACTTTCACTAGCCATGCCTCAATGTTTACTAATGTCACACCGACTCTGTAACCTTGCTAGCAACAAATTTTGAAATTTTCTCAATTTTCGAATACATGTAATAAATTTGATATTTAAATACTACTGTCTTCCTAGGTTGGTTTTCTGCATATTTTACAAGTACATTTTATGAATTTTTTCAAATCTTTTAAAAAAAAAGGTGACAAATTGTCAAGATTTATCAAATATGTTGTCAACAGTGAATAATAACCAAGATAATGAGCCTAGCAAACAGTTATAGATAACAAATTGAATATAATGGATGAAAAAATGTTTTAGAAAGATATACAAATATTTTTCTTAATGCAATAGTCATGTGATAATGTGTCTATACACTGGTAAATGTTAGTAATTAACTCATTCACCCCTGAAGACACATTTGAACTCTTCCAATTCAAAGGACGGAATAGTCCATTATGAAATTTCAGGGGTGAAACAGTTAAGCACCCCCCACCCACCCACTTTGAAGTATTCTATTCGTCAAAGTTCCAGTAAAACTGGGTTCACTGAATTTATTAGTCGCTGTACACAGGTTTATTTTAAGGATGTACGTGACATTTTAAGCTTGTTTTATATTGATTTGTTGTAAGGGTAACGTTGTTGAGAAATCTGTTGTTTGTTCATACCTATGTTGTTGCAGTTTAATTTTTTGCCAGATAATTTACGAGTTCATTTTCCGTCTTCACTCCATATTTCTGTAAAAAAAAAAAGGACTTGTCTTCTTTTAATTGCTATTTGCGATTTTAAAATCTCATGATTTACTGTTGTAGCAAGTGTTTCTAACGTTTTGTTTTCACCTTACGCCATACCAAGATTGTGATTTTAAAAAAGTCTACCTTTCTGCATGAGAGCGATATATTATATATATATCATAATTTCTATTTATTTCAGAACTGGTATGTATTGTTTTTAATTCAGAATGCAAAAACTAAACAAATGAATTAATAAAAAGTATTGAACTTGAAAATCAATGTTGTAATTTTGTAATATTCCTCGAACCTGGTGGAAACCTTTTACATGGCGTTGTCCGTTTGTCAATATAAAGTATAATGCATGCGTGGAGCCACAATATAGTCAAGCTAGGGCCCCTTTCACATATTTAATAGGTTCAACCTTAGAAAGATAATAACAGGCGCAGATCTGAACCAAGGCAGACCTCAAGAATATTTGGCACGTGTAGATTTAGGGTCCAGACGTACCTGACCGAAAGTGAATTGCCGACTATTGCTAGTTTGGGTTATTTCTTTATATAAAACAAAGTCAATCCACATGCAGATTTTAGGAAACGTTATATAACTTGGTGGACGCGTTAAAGAAGGACACAATATTTTTGATGTATTGTTATTTATTCTCCGAAACTGTGCATGTTTAAGCTCTGCCTATAGTTAAGTCCAAGGGCGTTCGTTTATCGTGGAACCAACAGAGATACAAATCTCTCTTAAACCACTTGCTGGATAGTGGAATAACCAGACTAGAGGGCCGAGATTAATAAAGCATACATGACAACTATTTTCTCTGACGTTCATTACATACAGGTAACTGTCAGTTCAAATAATTATTATCACTTGTCTGTTTCTCGGCTATGGAAAACATTGTATCTAGAAATTCTGTCTATATCTGTATAATCCTTGATGCAGAATATGTTTCTAGGGTTGAAGGAGTGTGTATGAAATTTCAATTGCTGATTTTATTTTATTTTTTAGCTCGCCTGCCCGAAGGGCAAATGAGCTTATGCCATGGAACAGTGTTCATCATCCATCCATCCATCAACTTTTCCTTTAAAATGCTATTAGTCCTGGATGGCTAGGTGGATTTTAACTAAATTTTGTCTGGTGCATCCTTGGTCCAAGGGCACTCAATTTTGTATAAACCGTGGGGGTGCCCCCCCCCCCTTTGGGGCAGAGGAGCGGGCCCAATAGGGGAAATAGAAATAAAACCTTTAAAATCCTTCT